AGGCCAGAAGCCTCCGGGGAGTGCACTGTATATGCGAGCTCTTCGCCCTTCCTCTGTCCTCACATCCTTTCTCATCCTTTCTCATCTTCTTCATCCCCTTCTTCTTCACCCTCCACTCTTCCCTCACCTCCTCTCCCACCCCACCCACTTTTTTCTGTGCATCCCCCCCCCCCGGCTCCTCTCTCTCCATATGTTTAGCTTGTCTCTCTTTCGGTGCCCTCCATAAGCTTTCGGTCGCCCGGTTAAAAGCAGGGGAATGACTGGGGCTCACAGGATGCAAGGTAGGACTGAAACATGCCTGCGCTGTGTGCAGTGGATGCCGAGAAATTGTGTTGCAACACATTTTGCAGTGTCATGATGCAGCAAGATTTTGAGGCAATGCACAACAGCTGATAAGCATGTTCTTCTCTTTATTTTTGCAGAGTTAAAATACTTCAGGGGTGGAGCTACACTGGTGATTTCAATGGATGGCTTGAATTGGCTTTCTAAAAGAACATGCAGTGACAAAGGATTACAGAAAAGGTATCTTTTTTATTATTACTATGATTGAAGGTTTGACATTGAAGGTGGGTCTCTTCCTCTGGTTAGTGGTGGGACTTTAGGATGTGTGTTTGTGGACTGGCTGTTTGGAAATCTTCTCCTGAGCCCCTCCACCTGTTACACAGCGAGGTGTTAATTTACCCGAAACGGGGCAGATTACAGGCTCTACGGCCTGCTGCATACGTGTGTGTGTGTGTCTGTGCGTGTGTGAGACCATACGGTAGTGTGTATGTATGTGTGTGTCTTTTTACATCCTTTACGTCACAGCTGCTGTGAGTCAGCTCCTCTCTTCCTTTCCTGAGTCACTCATCCAGGGGTTGCTTGGTTACTGCAGAGCGGCGAAAGTTTCCTATTGCGTCTTTGTCTCCGCGGATGGATGGGCTCCGATATTTATTCAGGCTCAGGAGTGAGTGGCCAAATAATGTATGTGTTTGTGTGCATGCGTGCATTTGTGTGCACCATTTCATCCGACGGACAAAGGCTGACAAATCAGTTTTAGTGCATCCTGTTATTAACAGAGACTGAAGGGCTGTCTGTGCACTGCAACTGACCTCTAAAAATGTAATATGGAAAGCAGACACTGACAAGGAATTATTTTTTTTTAGAAAAGACATTTGAGGCGATCCTCTTTAGACAAAGCTTGCATGTAATTTTTGGTCAAAATGCCCAAACTTTGGGTTTATTAAATATGTCCAGGCATTAATGAGTCACTTAAAGCATGTTAGATAGATTCAGAGTTGAGCATTATACCTGAATATGGAACATTCGTTCTCAGTATAAGCCTTGACTACTGATGTAGCACTAGATCTCAGTTTGGACAAAAGAATTCACAATAACAATATTATCTGGTTGTCAGATAGTTAGTGGTGCTGGGTTATTAATGATTATACCATCCAATCGTTGATATTATATATGTGACTACTGTCAATAATGGTACATCATGACACCCCTAATTCTATTGTTATATGCCACTTACAAACAGCCTATCATTCACTGTCAATCTCCCTGTGCCATCTAAAACTGTCTCTTGCAAAACTGTTGTGCCACTACTATAGACAGCAACTCCTTTACAGGTAACTGTCACTTATACTAACACCTACTATGAGTAGCCAAACTTGCTAAGCTAGCTGGCTAGTTTGGTTAGCCCCTCTTCAGCTATTGTACTCAGGTTGACTGACAGACAAACAGAAATGCATATTTTTTTGCACTGAATTGCTTCTCTGACTTATTTAATAGTGACTAATGTGTGACATGTGCAACAACTTGCTGATTTAGGCCTTAAATGGAGATACTAATTGCGTCAACAGTTTAACATGCTAGTTAGAAGTAGTAGGCCTGTTGGCTATTGGAACACTGCTACAAGATTAGCTACAGCAAACTGTCAACAGTGTAAATAAAAGAACAGGTTGAAAGTTTAATTGTGGTTTCATACAATTTACATCCTAATTTTAAGGTTTTAGAGCATCATTCGTATCAGGAATGCTAACATTGTAATCACCAAAGTCACTGCTGATCTGTAACGAGAAAAGTAAAAATCGCACGATTCCAGCTTCCAAAATTTGAATATTTTCTGTTTTTTCCCTCCCTTGTGAGAGTAAATGGAATATCTTTGGATTGTGAAGAAAGCAAGATATTTGAGAATGTCATTTTTGGCTATGTGAAAATGTACATTTTTAACCATTTTAACCATTTTCTGAAGTTTATAGCTGAATCAAATAATCCACATATTAATCAACAAAGAAAACAATCATTATTTGCAGATTCTAGTGTAAAGAAGCCAGACCTTAAAACACTTATAATAGTCATCACTCACTGAGCATTAAAACACTGTCGGCACACATTTATGACAAGTTCACAGAGTTAAAGTAAAAACTATTTGACAAATAAGTTTTTTCATGTTTATATTTTATCTTTTGCTTCCAAAAATGTTTCTCACTGCATTCTCGCATTAGAGTAACTCAGTGAATGCAAAGATATTACAGGAACATGGTCACCTATAGACATACTAAACTGGAATTTTAATTTATGATCTCACCACTGCTGCCTATAGAACACCACATATAATCACCACACAGTCTCCCACAGTCACAGTAAACCACTGTGATCATTCCTACAGGGATGAAGAGCTTCATTTGTGGATATCCTCGGGACGGATGATACAGGCTGATGTAACGCGACATCCAGTCACCTGCTTCTGTATCCTGGATCAGAAAGAAAGTGCAACCCTTAAGTCATGGAGGAACACTGACTGCAGATCGTCATCCCTCTGCCTCTCACCTCGACACTGTCGCCACCAGAAGGAGCCTATCCAGCAACCAACATTTACCTCTATACATCCTTTTGTTACAGATTTTCCGAAGGAGGTCGCTTGGACAAGACTTATTTTAAATATGCGGGACATTATTCGTTTGATCACAAACTATTTAAACAAGGCAACCCAACAGGATACTATCACAATGCATACCAACAAGAAATTTATTATGTTCTATGATGACTGTATACCAGCACAAGTTTTTAGTGAGCTATACTTCACTCAGGATTGTAGGATATTCTTAGGGCACACTGGTTGCGATGTCACTAATAACAACGATGTGTCAATTGATTTAAAAAACTCCACCACTTATTGCCGCCTTGGTCCCAACTTGGACTCTGAGGATGATCACAGTGAAACAGACATCAGAGACAATTTAAACCCCAGGAGTCTGTTAAAATCCTGCCAAAACCACAACCATCCTGGAGAATCATCAGGAAGGGATGGAAATGTGAAACTGAGGAAGAGTGTGTCCTTCGATGATGATGTCATGGTCTTCTTGTTTGACAAGGTATTGCTCTCCTGTTGTACTTTTTATTCTCCTGGGCTATTGGAAAGACTGAAGAATAATTAATAATCTCTCTTATAATAAGAACATTTTGATTAAATTAAATAGTTCGCAATCATTTTACTAATTTAGACAAAGGCAAAGAAATCCCTCTATTTCCACTAGGGATGCTCGATGACATTGACACAAAGGCTTAAAAATGAAGTACTAGCATCGACCCCAGATGAACACAGATAGACAGATATTGCCTGCCAGGCTAAAAGATGTGCTTGTAAACATAACGGCATGTTTTACATGTGTTTTCTTTTTATTGACTACATTTGAAAAGTGTTGTATTTCATGTTTTCACTTGCCAGTGTGCCATCACGATAAGAGTAAGCTAAATTATGTGTTTATTCCACTATATGAGGGATTTAATCTTCTCTGAATTGGCAATTGACCAAATTGAGTTGGAAAATATTGGCATATGGGATATCAGCAATTATCCAATATCATGCATCTGTACTGTTCATTTTTAGGAAAGTCCCACTCTGGAGCTGCACTCTGAGCCCTGCACATCTCTGACAAGCAGCTATTCCTGCAACCTTCCAGGTGCTACAATGGAAGACAATGGTAATAGAATCATGCTACTGATTTTACATATTTTATTTAATTGGCTACAAACCACATTAATTAATGCTGAACATTTTACACTGGTAGCCAAATTTAAAAAAGTACTCTGAAGTACAAATTTAATGTACTTCAATTTTACTTATTACCTTTGAATTCTTGATAACATTATTATTACAATATCAGTAGAAACTAGAGGGAACAATGATATCAATCAAAGCAGAAGCAGTTTCAAACAGATAGTAACTACCACTAGAATATTTATCATATTACCATATGTGTATTGATATTAATATTCCATGTTCTGAATATCATGGTTATCATTAAAATGGTAAATTGTGACATCCCTATATTATTATGTTACTTGCGAACAGCCTAACATTTACTGTCAGTTACCACTTGACACCCTCTTTGTGCTATTTAACAGTCACTTGCAGAAATGTCACTTTTATATTGACTATATTTTTATTATGGCACAAGATTTCTACTTTAACCCATTTGTTGAATGTTTTACTTTGCTAAAAAAAAAAAAAATCATGAAAAATATACAATAAGCTCATAACATATGATGCAGAGCACTCAACATTATACAAAACACTAATATTCAATAAAATGCTCATTACACAGGAAACCATACACTCTGTGGTAAAGACAATTTACTATTTTTACAAAGAAATGTTTTCATTGGTTGAAAATATTTTTTTATCTTAAGCTAATAATATATAGATATGGATTTTAAGTGAATCTTTTTGCCATTTGTTAATAGCCCATAACACCAGCAGACCATGTGATGAACAGTCCTCATCTAGCTTTGACGTTATCTACTTCAAACAAAAGTCTATGACAATGCAACAAGATCAAGGCGGAGCACTATAAGGTTGAGCAAACTTCAGTGTTTGCAAATCCTGCTAAACCCAGATGCTGCAGGCTATTACCCGATCAGTATCACCAACTGTGTGTGTGTGGCTGGATTTGCCTGCAGGCTTGGAGTGGGAAGATGACTTCTCAGCTTTGGAGAAGAACTGCCATTTTCAGCACTACACCCTTTCCCTGCCAAAACAGAGCTGGACCTCTCTGCCTGGGACAAAGCGCTGCAGTGTGCCCCAAAAATGCCTGTTCCTCACCTATGTCACTGAGTCAGACCTTGAGCTGTGAGATAAAGGGTGAGTGGCACACACATACACACACATATTGAGCTGTATGTGGTGATTGTCATGGCACACGGCCTTTCTATCGCAACGTCTGCCTTCAGCCAAAGGCCGGCTCACTGTCACCATGGCCTAATGTGACATCCACACTTGTTTTTCTTTCAGACAGCCGGCCTTGGTCTAATGGAAAAACTGACTAATCGTCCAGATCTTCACCTCTAACTCATCTCCCCCACCTCCCTCCCCCTTTTATGATGAGTCAGGGATTTTAATGGCTTTTTTTTCTCCCTCCCAGCTCCAAATGGATTCACTGCACTTGTCGTTCATGACATCACAGCCAAGCAGGACTGTGTGACAGTGCACGCAGCTTCCGCTGTTGATGGTATGACACGATCTCTGGCTGTGATGTGGTAAAACTGCCTGTTGCATAACAGAGCTGCTGCAAACCACTTTGGAACCTGCTTGTTATGCCAGGTTGTGTCCATGGAGCTGAGCTGGGAAACATCATCTTAAAGCTTATCATCTCAAATTTACAGGGGTGTAATGAACCAGCCTGTTTTCTGTTCATTTGCTGTTCACCAAATTCCAACTTATTCTTGGTGTTTGGATACAAAGAGTATAGGCTGTTTATACAGTTTGTTTTGCTCAAATAGAGCATGCTTGTGGAGGCCCTGTTTGCCTGCCTCATTACTAGAGTGTATTCAGCTTAGAATTTATCAGCAGCTGTGACAAAATAAACAGTGTAAGCCTTAGGGCCAATGGAGGCAGTAACTGAGCAAACTAAAAGTAAAAGATAATGTTTCCACAGAGCCAGCACCAGCGAGGTTTGGTTGATTAGATACAATGTACCTGAGGAGGAAAGGAAAGCTGGCAGGACCAGTCTCACACACACACACACACACACACACACACACACACACACTCAGAGAGACCTAACCTAACCTTAAACCACGTCTTTACCCTAAAATGTAATTATTTATTTTATGGGGACTTTTTGTACCCAAAAGGTGAAAGTCCCAAATTGTGATTGTATTAAAAGTCTTATGTTCCCACAATGTAAGTAATGCACACACACACACACGCACACACATGCACACACACACACACACACACACACACACACACACACACACACACATGCACACGCACACACATGCGCTGTTCAAGGACATCAAAGCCAAAGGCCAGTGTTTGCTTCTAAGACCTGGGAGCGCCACATCTGTACATTATTGTGACTGTGATCTCCTAGCACAGTGCTAACGCTGCTAACAGCCAAGTCATATTCATGTTATTGGACTGCATTCATAAAATACTTCTCGGTAATGTCCCATTTCTAATTGTATGGTATCATTACGTTTGTTTTCGTTCGTGTCTGTCTTTTTCTAAGGGTTCTATAAAGTTTACAAATGTGTTTCTTATCCTTTAAGCAAAAGTGTCCCTGTGCGACTTAAATTAGAGTATCCAAATATGAAAACATTCTAAATTAGCTTAAGATTATATTTTAGGAACATTTACTGTTAGTTAAGAAGATTTAGATTTAGAAATCTTTGTGAAAAGGATGGGTGGCACGGTGCAGCGGTGGTTAGCTCTGTCTCCTCCCAGCTTCCTGGGGTCTTTCAGTGTGGAGTATGTTCTTCCTGTGCAGCGTGGGTTCCCAACGGGTTCTATGGCTTCCTCCTACAATTCAAGGACATGCTGACGTTAATTGGTGATTCTAAACTGTCTGTAGGTGTGAGTATGATTGTCGGTGTCTCTATGTGGCCTTGTGATAGACTAGCGGGCTGTCTAGGGTGTGTCCTGCCTTCACAGTCAGCTGGAATCCACCCCCCGCAACCTTACAGAGGGTATGATTGTCGGTGTCTCTATGTGGCCCTGTGATAGACTAGCGGGCTGTCTAGGGTGTGTCCTGCCTTCACAGTCAGCTGGAATCCACCCCCCGCAACCTTACAGAGGGTAAAGCGTAATGTATTGTCTGTACTGTCGGTATGGGAGAAACACTGCATTCATAAACTTGCATTCTTTCTAGGGACCAGCAGGGGGCAGCTCTCCTGTTGCGAAGAGAAATCCAATCATGTATGACAAAATTACACTATTTCTCACTGGATTTGTTACCTCAATTAACATTTTCCTATTTAGTGAATGGTTTCAATCACTAGTTTCAAGTTTCTTGCAATATAACATGATGTTCATTAAGTAAATTACGGCCCCAATTAGAGGAGAATTGACAATAATGCAGGGTATGTTTTACGGTGTGGCTAGCTTGTGATTGACAAGTCACTGTTGTGTCAATATGTGTCCTTCAGTCAGATTCATCAGTTTCAAAAGATCAAGATGCTACTGGCCAAATGCCAAGCTTGAGGCTAGTCATCCACAAACCAGTGACTGGTATCACAGTGGCTAGATCTATCTTTCACATACAGTGTTTATATTTAAATGTTTGTTGTCTGAACTGCTTTTCTGAACTATATGAATCTATGTTAACAGATCAAAATGCAAGTCAAAATAATAGCTACAGGAAGAAGAATTAATAGTGACTAGTCTGAACGCACTACATTACATGTTTCAGGACATAATGTAACTAATGAATGATCACTATATGTCACTGCCAGCAGACGCTATTCTGTTTACTATCTACCACAGTAGGAAAGCGTAATAATCCCAACTGCCAACAGTTGTGCTGGCCCACCAGGTCAAACAGACAAAGTGGGATTACTGCAGACAACACACCCATGTGGAGTAGGGGTGATAGTGAAAAATCAGAAAGGGTAATTATTCTATTTTAGTTAAGTTGTCCCATTTTTTAATTGGCTTGTTTGCTTAGCTGTGTAAGGATATTCATTAGTCTATGTCAATCTCTCATTACACTAATGCAGAGTGAAAAGTTTAAAAGCAGTTTGTCTGGTAAAAAAAAAGAAAGTCATTGACATAGTTTAAATGAGACCTGCACATGCTTCTGTGCTTTCAGGTGTAGCCTGGAGGACTGTATTCAAATGAAGCAGTGGAAAGTGATAAGCCACAATGGAAATTATGTTAACTGTTCAGAACAACTGGACTGTTTACAGTTGGACAAAAAGCTCAGATCCCCTCTTCTGTTTTGCAGTAGAGCAAAAGGTTCACCTCCATTCAAAATTACATAAATTACAGTTCACATGTGAAAAATGTCAGAGTAGCTTGTTTTATGGTAGTCTGTGGCACATATTCAAAGTAAGCAACAAATGGCCAACTATTATACGAAATTGGATAATGGTTAATAAAGTCTGTAGCAAGCTGAACTCATTTTTATTACTTTTGTTTGTTTGCATATAGCGCCGAAAGATTACTTCAAACAACAATAAATTCCAGCTGAACAAGAAGACAAGAGTGTAGAAGCACTGCAGGGCCTTCACAAAGAGGTGCTCTGTGGATATTTTAGGGGTGCTACCTTTAATCCTTCTCAGAGAGGTCCTTGTATGGGTGAAAAAATGGTTTTAACACTAAAAATCTAAATCTCCTACAAATGTTTATGTAAAGTTAGAATGACTTTTGGACATGCAACATTTCACATTCAGCTCAAAGTCAAATGTTAGCCTTGGAAAGCAACTAACTAAAAAAATAAGAAAAAATTATACAATAACATAGCCTTGACAAAAGATATTCACCCCCTTTGGAATTTACCTGCTTTTATTGCTTTTCAACATTGAATTATAGTAAAATTAATTTGGTGTTTTTGACACATTGCAAAACAAAAAAAATGCCTTCATTTCAAAGTGAAAATAGATTTCTACAATGTAATGACAATTCATCAACAATAAAAAATGCAAAATAATTATTGCAAAAGTATTCATCCCCTTCAAGCTGATAATAAAAAAATACAAATTTGGCCACCAGTACAGAATTGAGCCAGTGTGGATGGAACTCAATCAGCCTTACACATCTGGACGTTGTAATTTTACCCCATTTTTCTTTGCAAATCTCTGTCAGGCTGCAAGAGCATCACAAGTGGACAGCTCTTTTAAAATCTAGGCTCTCCCATTTTAGCTGCTGACACTGATTCAGAGAGTCATGGGTGTCTTGGTGGCCTCCCTCACGAGTCTCTTTCTTGCACAGTCATGCAGATTTACATGTACCATATTCCTTCCATTTCCTAACAATAGATTTAACTGTACTCCAGGAGATATTCTCTTACCTAAAAATGTCTTGTATGCATCCACTGACTTATGTGTTTTAGTCACCTTTTCACAGCATGGAGTGGTCGTCTTCAGGGTGTAGTTGTATCCAGGAATACTGATTCACTAGAAACTGGAGCTGGAGCAATCACTTGAGACACATTCACTGCACTCCGATCATCTCCGTTTCCCTAATTGTGCGACTTCTAACACCAATTGGCTGCACCTGTGTGAAATTAGGTGAGTCACTTTGAAGGAGGTGAATATTTATGCAACTGCTTGTTTTGCATTTTATATTTTTAGTCCATTGAAGACAGAATCAGAAATACTTTACTGATCCTGAGGAGAAATTGCTAATGTTACAGTAGCTCCCATTCAAAGTCAGAAATATAAACAGTGCAAAATATATAGATAAACATAAATAGAAAATATGAACTAAAAATATAAATGTAAGTAGACAAATATGTCCTATAAGTAAAGTATAATTGTGATTGCACAGAGGTAATAAATACGATGTTTTTGCACATAGATACATAATTATTGCACCAAGCTATTGCACATTACTCATCGTATATTGGGAGCAGCTGTGTCCAGGCAAATTTGATATTTCCAGGTTAACTTCATGTTCTGGAAATGTCTCTTTTTAAAAAAATAATGTTATTGTTAAATAGCATTAAATTAATGAAATAAATATTTGTGTGCATTTCATTGGTTCAATTTATTTTGTATTTAGGTTATTCTTTCCGCAGGAACTCCAGAAATCCAGCAACCAATCAATCACTCCATCAGTTATTCAATAATTGTAATTTCTTTGGATTTGACCCACGTCTCTGTTTTCTCTTAGCGAGTGAACTTGTGTGTCTGTCGTGGTGGTTTAAATTTAACCTTGTAGTTCCTGGGGTGAGAGTCCCCAGGTGGCGTTGTTTTTTTTAGATACTGGCACAGCTTCCTTATTCTTCTATCCATTGTGTAACCTCGCCACAATCGTTAAGTCAAGAAGTGTACTTAGAAAGGAGTTTGCATTTAAACACAATGAGTCCAATCTGTTGACTCTGAATGAGGAGACATTACTAAGACTACGTTCAGACAGCAGGCTAAAGTGACCCAAATCCGATTTTTTTGTCCCTATGCGACCTGCATCTGATATTTTCATGACAGTCTGAGCAACACAGATCCGATTTTTTCAAATCCAACCCAGGCCACTTGGCCATGTGGTCCTAAATCCGACAAGTATCTGATATTTTGCCATGCGACTTCTGTCTGAATGGCCAGGTCACAGGTCATTGATACAAGACAAACGTCACTATTCTGCATTCGAGTAGGCGGAAATCGCAAGATACCCTCCACCATTAACAACCACGCTTACTTCTGCAAACACTGAGCATGCTCACTGCGTGTGACGTCGTTGTGTCCTCTTCTGCGCATGTGGGACACTTTGAAGTTCACACAGGAAATCACAATCAAGTTGCAGTTTAATTGGAAATGTGAACGAAAATCGGATTCACAAAAAATCTGAACTGAGCATTAAGTCCTGCAGTCTGAACGTAGCCTTGGTAGAAATCTGTTTCTACTTTGACATGAAAGAGTAAAGTAAAATGCTGTTGTCCACTTTCCAAAGTTGAAAAGCAATTAACCCTATTCAGGACTTTCATGTTGCCATACGTAGAAGGCCAAGAAAGAATATGTGCAAAATATGTGTTGGTATTCATTATAGACTTTTATACTATGCTAAATGCATGTTCTGATAAGTTGATGTATTTTTGGTTCCAAATGCATGACAAATGTCCCTCTTTTTGTATTAATAAATAAATAAAAATCTTCAAAAACAAAAACCAATACCTGTCACCTGAACCAAATGGCCTGGGGTCCAAAACACCCCAAAAGTCCTGAATAGGGTTAAAGTGGAAAACTTCCAAAGGGAATGACTACTTTTCTTTCAGTCACTATACTTTTTTTTTTAGGCACTTTTTGCACAAACAAACCAACATGCTGCAGCAGTAGCAGTGAGGTGTGTGTAGCTGCAGCAGCAGCAGCAGCAGCAGCAGCCTGAGGGCAGAGCTGCAGGCTGCGGGCTGGCTCTCTGATTGGCTGAGCAGCGCGACGTGTCCATCAGTCAGCTGCAGGTAGTTCACATGTGACGGTTATGTGCGTGTGTCTGCGCTGCACGGCGACGCTCTGCTGCTTCTCTCCGCTGCTCTTTAATTGACTTTATGGCGCTTATAATGACCGGCTGCGTGGTGTGAGCACAAAAGGAGGAGCAAAAAATTTTACTTTAACTTCCAAGGTAAGGCGTTTTCTGAAGTCCACTCCGCGCTGTTTTATTTCATTTTAAACTCATGTGTGCAGTGAGTGAATTTGAATTTTTTACTGTTCATCTCGATGGAGTGATTAAACGGAGGCTGGAAACTAAAGAGGGGATGCGATGGAGAGGTTTTACTGATCTGTGTAAACCAGCTTTATCATGTGTATTTTACTGCTAGAATATTTAAAAATGTGGTTTGAAGAGGTGAATCCACAACTAAAACAATTAAACATAAAAAAAAAATACACTTAAGTAAGTTAAAGTGCTGATAAAATAGTTAAAAATGTGAAGACAGCTCATTTGCTGGTAAAAGTGAAGGCTCTGGGGGTAAATTAGTCACTTGTGGCTGCTGTGAGCTGGCCGGTCGCTCTGTTTTTGTGAGTGTAACCTTGAAATGGGCATTATCTCAGACCTGTAGGGATAAGAGAGGCGTAGATTACCAGACCAACATCATGGAGTTTTCACACTGCAAGAGGCCGATTAGATACAACAGGATGCAAAGCTGTTTGAATTGGAGAGAGGCTGAGGGGAAACAGCTTTAAAAATGCCACTTTAACCCAAGTCCAGCTTCTTTCCCTTGACATTCCTCTCTCTTCTTCCAGGATCGTTAAAAGCCCTGACATCTAAACCATCAGAGAAAGAGAGAGAAAGGTGAAGGGAGGCAGCAGGATGAAGTCCAAAGGGAAGGCTGTGAAACCATCAAGGAGGACCTGGTCGGACCCGGATCCAGAACTGGAGCCGGACACAGAAGCGGAACCAGGCTCCAGCGAGCAGGAGGGCTCGGAGGCCTCGGTTCGCATCGGTGGCTCCTGGAGGGGCTCTCTGAGGAGCGGCGATGGGAAGCGAAAAGGAGGAGGAGTGGGAGGAGGCCGGCGGCGCAGACAGTACGGCTCCAGCACCAAAGAACGCAGCGTCCGGCGGCTGGAGAGCAACGAGCGGGAACGCCAGCGCATGCACAAACTCAACAACGCCTTCCAAGCGTTGCGCGAGGCCATCCCGCACGTCAAGACTGACAAGAAGCTGTCCAAGATCGAGACACTGACGCTGGCTAAGAATTACATCAAAGCTTTGACCACTATCATCCTGGACATGTCGGGGGCCTGCCTGCCCGCCGGTGGGGTCCCTTCGGAGGCCAGCGCAGCCAAGCTGCTCCAGTGCTACCAGCAGCACCTGGAGGAGGAGGGGGAGGAAGGCCTCACCCAGTACCTGACCCACATGCAGAGCTTAGGCCAGCACAGCTAGCAGTAGGACTGCGAGGTGGTTTGGAGACCAGGGGAGCCACCAGGAGGACGGTCGTGACAGGCCTGAGGATGGATGTAACCACAAACAATATCCATTTCCTACAGTGCTCTGGGATGTGTTCAGCGGTGTAGGAACTGGATGCTGTTCCAGATCATATACGATAAACTTATGAACATAGCAAGAGGTGCACTGTCTAGAACGTCATGCAAAACATGGAGAGATCTGAGGACCATTCACAAAGACTGCAGCTTGGACAGCGGAACCGTAATGAAAAGTGAAAAAGACTCAGAGAAGAAGGGCTCATCTTTTGCCGCTCTCTTTTTATTTGTCATGGTTTATAAGCCGGGGAAGGGACTTGTTCTCTTTTGTGTTATCGTGTGATCTTCTCATGTGTTTTCTGTTGAGAAACCTGCTGAGCGTAGCCTCTAGTCATAACTGTCACAACCAGAGACGAGCAGCAGGACGGAACATTAAAATGACATCGCAAGACAGCGTGTTTGCTCATGATGATCATTTACAACCAATGTGAGAACACGGTTTACTCTCCTCCCATAGCTGTGTATGTTATTTGCTTTTGTGTGTGTGTGTGTGTGTGTGTCTTGAGGCAGAAAATTTTTAGTGAAAAACAAAAGGAGAAGTTGTTATCAATAAACACATTTATTTATTGACACGACTGTTTTGGTTTTTGTTTTTTTGACCATGCACAAATGGACCACACAGCACCGATGTGTCGCACACTACAGTAACATGGAGTGGTGCTCGTTATTCACAGATCATACAGACAGATCTCTGTACACTTTCAACATTTACAAATGTTTCCACAGATTTAGACGCTATATAAGCTGCCAATAAAATAAATGAATGCCTGAAATGATCCCAGTTCATCAATGTGTGTTTTAGTAGTCATGAAAAACTGAACTTCTTTCAATTAATTGCTCTTTGTCCACACATTTTCCCTTCTTTCTATAGTACCATTACAACAACCACCATACTACCTGTGTAACACCAATATCTTACAGCTTCATAACAAAAATAGTGTTATTTTTTTTTAAATTTCTTAATGCTCAGTCATTCTCCCACCATCAGGAAGTAGACGGCATGCAAATGCAAACACTCTCCTGAGAAAGAGGAAGGTTTAGTTTTAACAGTTCAACCACAAGACTTTAACAAGTAATTACAGTTCAAGTTTCCACGCTTTTCCCTTATTTACAACGCTAACAATTGCACATGTTCCATGACAACAACATTATATATACACATACGTACATGTAGTTTTAGAAAATAATATGAGAGTCTTTATAAAACACAAGTCCAGTGTTTGTACAAGGCAAGAAGCAACCACCACAAGTGAAATAAGTCGGTGCAGGTCTTGTTACAGGGACTACACCCTGGCTCCTTGAAGTGAATGGGTAAACCGAGATGTTTTCTTTAGAATCACAAAGTTAATCTATTTTCCACACAAAAACGTTTGTGTCTCAGTTGTTAATTTGGCTCATTAGAACAGATGGAAGCGTGTTTTACAGTGTATGTCTTGTTTTTACAGTATGAATATCTCACCCTTGGGTATGGTGGTTTCCTCTTGCCCATCCAAACTCAGTTTCACATTAAGTTTCCACCACACAGGTTGGCAAGCTAGTTGCATGCAATAAACCCAAATCCTGGCTTTAAAAAGTTGTCTACAGTTAAACAGCGGTGTGTCAGATCAGCAGACACAAGCAGCTGCTAAGGAAACATGGATGAAACATTGTTCCTGCCTGTTTCATCCATGTTTTCACTCTATATTAACATTAATCAGCCTCAACTCTGCTGTTATGTACTGACCTGTTTCCCTACAGGCTAAGATGGAACATAATTTTAATTTTGGATGATACCAGCCCTGGAGCTGATACTTTAGCAGCTATTCAACTATGGTTCAAGTACACTAATTGTGTCATTATTTTAAAAAAACTATCTATTATAAAACATCACACCTGGACCTGGTGTGGCGTTGTATACACAGAAACCACGTGAATCAGAAACAAAACAGAAACATCACATCTTGATAAATTAGGGGAAAAAAAGCATTAAGACCATCAAGTTGAGTGTTGAAGACAAACAGCACTAGTAAAGAATTACACACAAAATGCCCGTACTGAGGAGACGAATGCTCAGTCACATGATAAACAGTGATGTCAGGAGCCTAAGACAGTTAGTTAGACACCGAGGGACAAAATCAGCTTAGCATCTAAGTTCTCGGCTCCGATTGTCAAGAAGTGACAATGTCCCGTTACACTGGCTCAGGCGATGTAAAGACTAAAATCTTTCCGCTACTTCAGTGTTAAAAGTGGTTTTAAACAAAAAAACTCCTACAAAGGTAATCTGGGTTTGGATGGCTACATTTGTACATATACAAATGTCTAACTTCCTACAGCGTTGCCATTGACCTCTGGGTTCCTGACGGGGACAGGCCTCCGAGAAGACGGGTCCGTTAGAGAGGGGAGACGGAGGCGAGGCGGCTCTATGGAGTTCCCTCTCACTGTGATGTGGTCCCATCCACCCTACAAGTCAGTGGGGAGGGGAAGTTAGCTCCAGTCGCTTCTGTTTCTTTTAAGTATAAACCTATTTACTGTCTGGTTTAAGCACTAGACAAACTCATTTAAGCTCCTCTCCTCATTTAAGTGAGCCCCACCTTTTTGTTGTTGTTATCTGATCTAATTTGCACATGGATGTTGTTTATGTGTGAATTACTGCTTACTGCAAATTGAATTTCCCTTCTGGGATAAATAAAGTATTTTTCATTTCAAAGACAGAGTAACTAATGACTGTTATATAAAGTGGCAGTGAGTAGAGGTACAGTTTGTACTGTTGAATGCTTTAATGTGGGTTAAATAAACATTTCACCTGCAACTGCAAACAAATTAGAACACAATACTGCACTATATTTACTGTATTTAGCAAGTTAAAGACACGTACAAACAGTTCTGTTGGAGACTGTCGTACTCTAAATATCACCAATGTGTCAGTATCTGTGCTGACAATGTGCCTTTATTATGCTCAAAAGAATGGGTGCTATTTAATAAATGTGTAATAAATAATAAATAAATGTAATAAATTTCTGACTCTAAATAAAGGTTAAACTTTATGAAACCATCCATACAGTTTTGTTTCTTACCCCAATGCCATAGTCCCACGACTGTCCTTTGGGCTCCATGGGTTGGACTCCAAGTCGATGGCAAACAGTCCCACAGCTCAGACTGTGGCTGCCCTGCACCTTGTCTGCTATGATCCACACCTACAACCCCACAACAACATGCAAGGATTGTTTATAACCAGAATGTGGTATGTGTGGAAACATTAGATTTGAAAAGTATTTGTTCAATTAGTCATTAAAGCTGGATTATGAGAAGTAAAGTCTATCAACTGTCCACAGCATGCTCATGTATGAATAAAGAAGTGTTTGAATCTAGTGGGTTTACCTAGTAGAGCTTACGGGTGTCCCCAGTTTATCCCAAGAATTGGGACATTGGCTAATCAACCGTTTTTAACTACGGGTGTAGGTGTTGTAAAGAGAGAGCTAGCTGTCAAGACATAATGAATTAGTGACAAAATAATTACAGTAAACATTTATCCTGTGTTGGTATTGTTACAGTAGTCACTTAAGGGCCACAAAGACAGTTCTGTGACATCTGGAAATAGTCTGACTGCCCTGCTCGAGCCTAGCTTGTCTCAAATATACAAACTCTGGCCAGATGGCCTTGAGCGCCACAGAAGACTTTGTCGTGGTGGCCCATTGCGAGCTTATCCCCCAACACAGAACTGCTCTCAGTCCGAGTGACCACCTCACTGGGTTGCTACAGTAGAAAACAGTAAGAGGATCCACCTGGTGGTGCAACTAGGTACTACAGCTAATCTGGAAATTGGTATTGGAAAATGGTATCCCTCTACTCGTAGCATTGTTAGTTAGCCCAACAATAGTCAGTTAGCCTCAGCACCCGTTTTATTCAGGCCTTCTTTTATAACATCATGTTTATAGAGGGATTAAGATTGGAAAGGGCAGTGAGAGGGTTGAGGGCTGGTGCTTTTATTGATTTTTTCTTTCTTACCTCTACAATGGACTTTCTGTTATATTCTATTTGTATAAAAAGCACTACACAAACACAGTCTGATTCATTGATGATTGACTGACATAGTCCTGACACTGTCCCAGGCTGAGGCCAAATTACAGTTTCTTCCACTTTAAAAAAAAAAAAACCTCCTATATGCCCATATCTGACAAAATGGAGAAAACAAGCGCCACAAAAACAGTTGAAAAGGTAACGAACCACAGTATTGATACGGCAGTATTGATATCCTGGTACCCACCTGGTCCAGAGGCCCTACAGAGACTTTGCGCACATTGTTAGAGATGTGTTCCCAGGTGGAGCCCTGAGGGTAGCTGGGGGTCACACCCTGTCGGTACCACAGGTTACCTAGACAGGAAACAGTCACATCAGGCCACTGATCAGAGATATTCTACCAAAAAAATCACTCAAAAGTAACCATGTTCACTTGAGATTATATCAAGTATCTATTAAAATTACAGTGTTCATAAACATAAGCTGTAATCACGAGGGGAGTTTTCTTTACCATTTTCATCTACAGTGTAGACTGATGTCCTCCCAACTGACACCTGCTTCAGCTTCTGTTTGGCTGGAGAGGGGATGTGATACCAACAGTCTCCTGCAGAGGGAGACACAACACACACATGTAACACTGCAGAGGTAGAAATCATGTCCTATCTGCAGCACCACAGGCTGACATGTTTTGTTTTCTTAATCAAAGTAAGGTTTTAAGTTTTTGATTCAGGGTAGTTCAGACTACAACAGTTCCTCCGACTGACCCGCAGGGCTCTGTGCTGAAACAGATCCCCTGTAGAAGGCAGAGCCGTCCCTGGCAATGGCCCAGACCTGGCTGGCAGCCCCGATGGAGATGGACTTGAAAGGCTGGTCAGTTCCCACGTGGAGCCATGAGGATCCCTGAAAGAACAACAGGAGGATGTCAAAACAATTAGCTCTCATTACTTTAGGGGTTTTTGTTGCAGATAAAGTGAATTGGAAATACTTTTCTATAGTTTATAGTTAGATATTTATACTGAAAAAAAAAATCAGAGCATTTAATGTGTTATTACATTGTGTCCAGTCTTTTTAACATAGACAAAAAGGGATCATGTTGCTGGAGACGTCCATCCAGAGCTGTCTAACGTGATTCTTTAGACAATAAATGGCGGAGTTTGAGACGTTTAAGTTCCTGGCTACAGCCATCACTGATGTGCCAGCTTCTAGCAGCCAACAGTCCGTTGGCATGTTTCTCTTGTCATCTGTGGCATCATGTCAGTTAAACAAAGCATTTAAAGGTGGCCTTTTATAGTCACTGGTCAAATAAGTGCCCGTGTGTTGGTCACGTTATCTGATCATTGTCCTTTAAAGCCACATAGACTCGGGTGTGGATTAACTCAGTGGTCAAGAATTTGTCACCAGCTGAACAGTTAAACAAAACTTTTATTGCACTGCTGTCTAAATTTAACCCTTTTTCTAATCCAGACGATAGAAATTAGATTTTTAACTTTTTCTCCAATTCAGAAAATAAGACTATTTTGCATGCTGCATTTATATTTTCATTTAGTGTAGCTACATGTCAGCAGCATTTAGAACTAAAAGATGTCCTTCTGCACTTCTAAATCAGAATGAATGTGAGGACCTTACATACATGAACAAAACACTTTCATAGACAGCAAGAGACTTGAGGGAGATTATAGATGAAACTAATAATCTGTCCTTTTGACATTTTGTTGAACTAACCTTGGAACTGCAGATGCTAAAAATGACATTGACGCTGGTAGAGATTGTGTGTTTATCTGTTTGGATACTGTATCTTTAAGTCTTTATGATATGCTCTTTGGAAAAGCCTGCATCAGGACTAAATATAAAATATCCCACATGTCGTCCTAACAAGCAGTTGCATGCAATGTGCGTTTCTGTACTCCGTGCACATTTGTTCTGTGAATAGGAAACTCAGCGTGAAGTGCTTATGGGTGGCTCGCTGAAAGGAGTTAAACCAGTTCATAGTGTTTCTAACTGCCCATTATTAATGACTCACAGCAGGTGTCAGTGCGGTGACTCCCAGTCGGCAAAGCACGTCTCCCTTGTTGCTTATCGCCCACACAGAAACCACGTCCACGCTGCTCTGAGCTGCGCACGGCAAGATGGTCACATCACTCAGTGGGATGGGTGGGATTTCTTGCCAAGGTCCTGTGGTGGTCAATTTACACTTCCTGTAGGGAGGAAAAATCACAAGGCTCACATGTGTCCTTAATAACAATATCTGCTGTGAAAGATGCTGCTGCGGTACGAGGTTTGAGAAATGACCCAGATCCGGCGTTGACCTCAACCGATCCAGATCTGCTCGTTAAATTAACCAGATATTCCACAAACCAACATTATCCACACATATTTAATGCCATTCATTGTTGGCATATAATACATTTCTTGAATTTTTGCCTAGTGATTGATCAATAAATATCCAGAGTAAAAATTTGCTAAAATCTTGCTGTAAAATGTGCAGAACATCCAGTTTCTACTAATCAAAATATACATTTTTCCCTCACTGACAAAAGTTCAACTACCATCAGACTCTACTTTCCCTGTTGACGTCATAATGAACGTGTCCACATACAAACATTACAAATGTCAAGTGTACCATCCGCTTTCAGACCACCGTGTTCCCACTGAACAAATATTGCAGAGACTAAAAAGTCAGTGATGCTTTTTATAGTACCTGGCCCATCGCCTGCGACGCACAAAGTCCTTCATCGTTTTATAGCCATGATATGACCTGCATGGAGACACAGGGGGAGTGAAAGAATGAATAACAGGAAAGGAAATAAACGAAGGTCATAATTATGAGAACAACTTGAACCAAGTGACACAGCAGAAGGATGAACTACAAAGTGAGATCAGTGGGTTAGCGAGGTAAGTTGAGCCTAAAGTCAGAGTTTTCAGTGTCATGGAGGTGGCTCTCTTTTTACCTTGATAGAACTCTATGGTAACGGATGCTCTGAAGCTTGCCTGGTTGGGAGCAGGTTATGTTCATAGTTTAGGATTTAAATCGGCTTGAAGAAACACCTGCCTTTAACCAAATAGTTTTCTGATGATTATTTATGAGTGATACAGATTGTCAGCTGAGGGAATGTGTTTTATCTGCAAACATGCTGAGTTGTACGTTACTAATATCACTGAATGAAGCTGTGTAGTTACAGTATCACATACTGTATGCATGGGAACCTACATGTATTTAGTTGGTGATGCAGAAATCACATACATTTGTCGTTATGTTTGGCTTTGATTTGCTGTCAAGTCTGTTTACATTGCTGCTACTGTAGCTGATGAAAATGGATTATTCTACTGGTATTTGTTACAGAGAATATTCAGTCAGTAACATTAATTTATTTTGATTTGACCAAAAATAGTGTCAGATCTAAATGCACTTCAATACAAGATCATGTTTAAATATATGAAGTTTACCAGCTTTAATGTGCAGCTGTCAGTCAGAAATAATCTGCTGCATTGGTTGACAAAACAAATATATTGTGCATGTTTACTAATTGGATAGACTGGCGACCTGTCCAGGGTGTCCCCTGCCTTCGCCCTAAGTCGGCTGGGATAGGCTCCAGCCCCTCCCCGCGACCCTAGTGAGGATTAAGCGGTGTATAGATAATGGATGGATGGATGTTTACTAATTGTGTACTAATTTACTCATTGTTCCCCATTATAAGAAACTGTTGACTGAAGCAGCTACACACGATTGTTTAATTTTGTGGAGAAGAAGAGTCACGTGATGCGTTAAACACCCCCTTTTATGTGAATGGGCACAAAGTTTGAAGCAGAAAGTCTGAGATGACAAAGACTTTTGATAACCACCTTCCTGATGCCTGTTATCTCTGACTGGGGTTTTGGTTTTTGTAGAGCCGACTTACACAAAGAAAGCCTGGCTATGTCAAACTTGCTTTGTAGTACAACCCTCAGGTGGGTCTGAGGAAAAGCAAATCAAACCTACGCTGGAAAATCAGCTGCAAATTGCCATCCTTCTCTGTCTGTCCCTCCAGAGACACTGTAGTCGATAGCCCACTCCGACACCTGGAAACAGCACAGATGGGAAGTGAAAGCAGCTGCATTTTTAGCAACACATTTTGTCTGTGATAATCCAGGAACCAATACTTGTAGTTTTCAAACTAAAGATCAGAATGGAAGGACAGTGGTTAACCAATGCACCACAGAACTGGTTTCAGATCACCACAAGGCATCTTCCACAGTGTGTGTAGCTCTGCTCACCCATGTCCAGTGAGGGGACGGAGGTTTCGTATTTGTTTTTGTGCACTCATGTAGTCCCGACGCATCGCTCCACATGTAGCGGTCTGTTGGTAGACCTCTAAAACAAAGAAAAAACAAGTTGTTGTTAAGTCATAAAAGATTCAACTCTTCAAATAAAACACATAAAACAATTAAACAACATGGCCTCCAGCTAAAGTTACTGGTAATGTTTGTTTTTTACTGCTGTGTTGTAGTGTAATAGTCGAGGTTTAAATGAGTAGAGAAAAAAATGAAATATATTATTACTGCTTTTGCAAAAGCAAGTAACGTCAAACACAGTGTCTGTCACGATTTATTTTCATGAGAAGCCACTAAATGTGAAAATCTTCCACTTTAGATTCCCCAGCATCTACACAGATAACAAAATTATCCCTGAGCCTGTCATTAGCCTGGATATTTCTAAACACTAGCAATTATGTTACAAAACAAATTATTGCAAACATTCAGGCAATCATTTCTACCGACGAAAATGTGTTTCATGAATACCAAGCAGAAGAGAACAACTCTGAACTGATACCTGTTGGTGTAGCCGGTGACGGGGTTCCACCTCTGGTTCTCATAGATGTAGACGCTCTTGACGTCCGTCTGAGTGTAAATGTTATCTGTGCTGCTGGCCAATCCTTGGAAGAAGCCTCCTCCGTACCCCCCTGTATAGACCCATGCTGTGTGGTCATAGCCGATCCCCCACACTATCCCGACGCTGTTACACTCCACCATACGCAGGTGGCCTCCAATCTGCCGCCAGAACCTGCACAAAAGAAGGGAAACTCATGTTATTTACATCCTCATCAATCAGAAGTTTGCCGTCATGTTCCTCTTCTAGCAGTCTAGTGATGTGTCTGTTATTCTCACATTTGGTCACAGGGTGTCGGGTAAGGCATGGCTTCTAGGCCAGGTGAGGGCTCGCTGATAAATATGTCCCCTTTACAGGTGATGGACCAGATGGCCTGTTTGGAGGGAGGACCCTGGATCGCCCTGGAGTCACAGCACGACACGCTCAACAGTGCCAGCTGGAGAGCGGGAGGGAGGTGAAGGCAGACAGAAGGAGTCAGAAAGGGAGGGAGAGACAAATGAGAAGCCATTAGAAGCAGCAGAAAGAGGGCGATAAAAGATAAATGGTAGAAACAGTAAAATGCGTCTACAAATCCTGTGGGCATTTCAACAGGCAGAACAAAAATAAAAGACAGTAAACCATGTTGTTTCTCTCGCCTCTAAAATTGATCTTTTCTTGTTTCGTTTTGATCGATACGAGAAGAAGAAGACGTATTTGTGGAAAAAAAATGTTATTACAATTTCAATTCAACATTGGTGATTTCTTCAGATGGTCCTACTTGCTGCTAAAATCCTTTTCTGTGTAAAATTGTCTGCTTCTACAAATCAAAACTGTTATGAAGAATTGATTCATCCACTGTTTTATTCCTCTTCACAGCCTGGTGAAGGTCCTTGCATACAAAGCTTCCTTATAATAAATCCTATTTTTGTGCAAGTGCAGAAAAGGCCAGAAGTGTGTGGAGAGTTTCTACAGAAAGTCTCCACTGTGAGACCACAATAACTATGAAGTTTGCACAATACACACTTCATGCATGATGAGTTCAGAGTTTCTCACACCAGATGAGTCCGGGTGCACTTTGGGAATATGGTGATAATTAACACAAATACAGCTCCCATTGTGACATTGTGGTTTTCTTTCCATACCCACCCAGTCGTGCATTTCCAGCTCTGTGGCAGCCGCCAGTCTGATTGGCCACCTCTGTTTGGTCCGCTCAGGAGTGTAGATGGCAAAAGTGTGTTTGGAGTCATTTAGCACTGGAACCAGGATGGTCACCTCGTTGATGAAGGCGTGCAGGTACTGAAGCACAGTGAGGAGGAAAGAGGTAAAAAGAAGATAGAAAGCAAAAAAAAAAAAAAGGTTTAAATATATGCAGATATTCTGTCGGTAACACAGGAAACACAGCACCGACAGAGAGAAGAATCAATTCAGCAAAATCTGAAAAACTAAAGAAATGCAAGCTAAAGTTTGTTGAATGGCATTACAGTGTCATCTCTGACATGCTACGCAGCCTACAAATAACTTGAAGCATGGATTTAAATTCCAAAATCAAGAATAGAAATCTAAAGGGTTACCAAGTACTGGCTCTGCAGTTCACAAACTTCTGCACATTTCACAACAACTGTTTTTAAGTCCATTAAAAAAAAGTAATAGTGCACTAGAACTTGAAGAAGGGCACATCGTTCATGTAAGATTTGTATTTATTTCTTACATCAGGACAGCTTTTAACTGAGACATACGTTTAATGTATTCCTGTTATCCCCTCACTCTTCACACACCACAATACTGACTGTAGTGGAACTTTTTTAGTACTTTATGCCTTCATCTATATCTTATTTATATCAGACTACCTGCCAATATCCCCACTTATCCACTGACTACTCTTTTTGCCATTCATCCCTCTTGACATTTATAATATTTTATTGTATTTGGCTGCTGAGATGATTTAATGTCCCTCGAGAGACGTATAAAGTCAAACATTTATCCATCTATCAATACTTCACAAATACGAAAGCCTGTACAGCTCTTTCTCACCTTCTTCTCCTCGTAATAGTTGTAATAGATGAACAGGATGCCGTCCTTGTTGCCATCTGGTCCTGAGAACTGCTCCAAGGCAAAGTGAACATCTATCCACTTGTGTGGCTTCCAGTCTCTCCACCACTGCATGGTTCCCTTCTTCACCCACACAGACTGCAATGGAAACCAATGTTGCAGTAAAGGAAGGATTGATCATATTAAGGGATAAAACATTGGACAAGTCATCAGTGCTCCTGCGCTTCATGTACCTGTTCTATGGCTTGTTCATAATGTCTGAAATTATCCATCTCTCTCTTGGTCCTTTCACTGAGCTGCTCAAAGATTTGTTTCCGCCAAGCTGCCGTCTGGGCTGGGCTGACTGACAGACTCATGGACTGGACTGATGAGACCAAAGCTGGATGATGAAAGAAAGAAAAATCTGTTACTAACAAGCATAGAAATAAAATGAAGCAGCAATAACCCTGACAAAGAGGTCACAGTGATCGTTACTCTAAATTCAGGTGTCATTAAATAATTTAACGGTAGTCAGATTTCTCTTTTAGCTTCAGAACAGTCAATATTATTTAAAGTACTGATCTAAGGCTGAAAAATCACAACAGCTCACTCAATTACTGGTGAGCTACTTCATTCAACTCACATGATGTGTTCATAGAGCAGTTAAACCAGTTGAGCTGGGAGTGACTGTCCACAGAGCAACCTCCTCCACTGACCCATGCCCACAGAGGGTGCTCATCTGCCCCATATGGGTCGTCCATGGCCAGGGTGTATGTGGCCACCGACGACAGGCTGCAGGTGTCAGCTGAGTCCTGCACTGCTACAGTCTGGGCCTGCTGTGCCTCCTCCAGATCCACGTTGCTCCACTGTGGATCAGGAGGACCTCCAGACTGACTCGGGGAAAGAGCTGAAGTAGCACAGGGGGCTTTGAGCGCTCCTTCTCCGGGGATGCTCTCCTCTTCGGGGACGGCAGGAGTAGCTGATCCAATATCTCTGGAGCTCTTTCCCGGTTCTCGATCGGAGACGAGTTCAGAGATGAAGCTGTCGCTGGTGACCTTGGGGATGCGGGGTTTGGGAGGGTTGGATGAGTCTGTGGGGGCTTCAGCGAGTGACTCTGGGGAAGTGGAGGTGACGTGGCAGCCGGCTCCATCTGCAGATGCTTTCTCTGCGTCTGATTCCACATCGCTGGCTACTGACTGAGCCCGCACTTCACCACAGAAATAACATCCAGCGCTGTGAAAAGAGGACACAGAGAAGAACTGGATTTATTAGTATCATGCCAGAAAACATTTTAATACAGTGCTGCCCACTTAATGTCATACCGCTTTATAGAATATTCCATTTGTAATCGTAAAATATCGAAATCCCGAATCATTTCCTATATAACCTACAGTAAAACAGCCTGCTTATTGTCATAGAATAACGCCATAATCCTGGTTTTAATCATAACAAAATTCCCCAAAACTGATTCCAGGAATAACTTTTGCCCGTTTAAAGTCATGGTCGGCTGATCGTCATGGCTCATGGGCCGAGTGTCGGTCATGCGTGGCAGATTATCACACCCTGCTCAGCCGTGGAAGGCAACGTGTTAGTTTGTTTGTCAATTACCTGCTCACCTGAGATCGGCTTCACTGAGTTATTCACACACTGACATTAATTAGGGCACATCAGAGAGAATCGCATTGTTGCAGAGCATGTCGTCACTCATAACTGAACTGCTCAGCTAGATAATCACAATAAGTTAATCCTCTGTTTACTCTCTGATTAAAGGAAGTAACTTTTATCAATGGGGGGGCTTTTCGTACCGACAAAGGTGAAATTTCACTGAAGCAAAACCATAAAGCTCCATTTGAAAAAACATTTCTTGATCTTCAAAGAAACTGTCCCTTTAATCTTGTGAAAACATTCCCATATCGGCTTTACGTATAAACCCCCGTTTTCCATCACACAGACACAATTTTCTTAGTGCTCTGTTGTTGCAATTGAAGCCCGCTTACTGGAATATCCCGGATATAGTCATAACTCCATCCTTGACCAAGGGTATGATAATAAATGGGCAGCACTGTACTGCATTTAACTACATGCCTGTATTTTTAGTGAAAGCCAATATGTGTAATCAACTGAATTGTGCGTGAGTGTGTGTCCACTGAGGCCTATCCACCTCTGCAGGCTGTTGGCGCTGGCGCTGGAGTGGGATCGGTCTCCGTCTCGGGGAACGGTGATAGCCTTCCAAGTTTTCCCACTCAGTTCACTGGAGGTCACACCCTGTCTGAAGTATACAGCTCGGTCCTCGCAGCTGATAGCCCACACCTACACACAACAGCAAGACTTTCAGAAAACCCTTTTACTTGACTTGCCAACATGTAATATTAAAAACAATGTAATGCTTGGACGGTTTCATCGTGTAGCCAGAAATCACCTGGTCGTTCAGTCCCACGTTCATGGTGATCATTTCTCCAACCATGCTGATCCAGCCGGAGCCGCAGGGGTTGTGAGAGTTCACGCCGCGCCTGAACCACACCTGGTAAAGAAGGAGAGTAGACTGAGAGACTAACTTTTATCTAAAGAGGTCATGGGTTTGATCCCTTCAATGGACGCATCAACAAAATACTATGGTTAACATAATTTAGGGCTATCGTGACAGAGTTAAATAATCGATTTGTTGGTCAATATGGTCTCATCTGACCAAATTCTATTGGAAATTCTACAGGTGATGTAGTTCTATTTTTGGAAATCATATGATAATGGGCAGGTACACACTGGTCAGCTCAGACTTTTAATTGTTTCAGGATAAAATAAAGTCAAGACAAGTTAATACGCCACAAATACGAGCTTTGTATATTTCTCTACAACTCATATAAGGTAATAAGGCTTGGAGGTAGAGTGCATTCAGTGCACTACGGCCAGTTTAGTAAAACAGCAGATAACAAACTGGTCAAAAAATAGGTACGACTTCAGTCGACCGAGACTTTCTGTGGTCGACTACAGCCCTATTACCAATTTAGCCATAGTTTGCTGTAGATGTCTGCTTGTCTTTGCTGAGGCAGTTTCCTTTATTAAGTAAATGGTGTCAGTGAATTTAGTCAATCCCATAAGACCGATACAATACTCAGCCGAGAGTATAACACTTTAAGCTGCACCACTCACTATTTTCTTAGCCACAGGGCTGTAGCACTTTATTACAGTGGCGGCTGGTGAAAGTTTTTTGTGGGGCGGCGCAGTCTGCAAATGACCTTTTTTTTTTTTTAAATCAGAAATTAGAATAAGAGTAACATCAGGCACAAATGCAACTGTTCTGCCTTTCATCAATATTTACAGGATCTGTACAAACTCAAAACACACAACATAAATAGTGAAAAAATCACTATTCAGGGCTCCAGACTAACTCTTTCACTGGTAGCACCACTATGACCCACTTTCTCATTTTGTTGCACCTCCCACCTGGTTAAAGGTAAAACATATGACTTGCTGAACATTTTCTTATCGATAGATGCTACAGTTTATTGATGCTCCCTAAACGTCCCACATAGCAGGCTGTGGCAGCTGCTGTTTGGTGGCTGTGGTGTGCTCTGACAGGTGTGTGAGCAAAAATTATTTTATTTTTCCCATCATCTGTATAACAGCTTGGCTATTGAATCCAGAGGAAACTAACTGTGTACAGCTCTGCTGGACACTGTGAACCTGTCTGGACTGTTTAAACTTTGGTTTCTCTGCTGAATTTTCAAGAGATAAATAGACAGATTTAACTTCTTTTACATACTTGCAGCTGTATTACCATCATTGGCTCCAAGCATCTGACATTTTCTTACTTTGTTGTCCTTGGTCACAGCCCAGACAACGTTGATTCCCACAGCTACATGTATAGCTCCCACATCAGGGCTCGGAGACTCCACCACTGCCCAGGAGCTGCCTGCAGGGCAGGATATATTATTCTCAATAGAGAAAATAAACACAGTCACACACACACTACATCCTTCTCCTGCTAACAGTGAGTACTCTGTGTACCTTTGGGGCAGTCTCGGCTGATTCCCTCCCTGACAATGAGCTGCCCCTCCCACAGCACGGCCCACACCAGGTCACCTGGGCCACAACTGATCTGGACTACCTCCCCTGGGAGAAGCACATCCTCCCATGAGGAACCCTCGGGATTGTGGTGATAGATTCCCTCCCTGAACCACACCTGAATGGAGAGAAAAGGAGAGTAAAATAATCAAGAGTGACAGCAAAACCGAAAGCAACACACACATTAAACCGCTGCATATTTGTTATTACACAAAATCTTAACATGCATTCGATCAGACAGATACAGTACATTAGACAGAGTTATCAAAGGTAACAGTTTACAAAAAAGGGCAGGTTTTATAAGCTATATGTCCACAAAAGCTGAATAGAACAAATGATTTTGCATCGACTGGAAATACCATTGTTATTTTGAAGAGGCAAAAACAAGAAAAAGTGTGTGAAACACTGTGCAGAAGGACAGTACAAAGCAGTTCTTCCCACACTGGCGTAATTTGTGCAAATTACAAGTTAACAAAGACTTGAAGTACATTACCATGGATACCTGGACAAAGGTGCGTGTTGCCAGGGTGTTGCATGTGTGAGTGTGTGTGTGTGTGTGTTTGTGTGCATGTGTGTGCATGTGTGTGTATGTGTGTGTGTATGTGTGTGTGTAAGCTTTACCTTGCCCTGCAGGGACACTGCCCACAGCGACAGCCGGCCCCTGGGCTCCTCACTGATCTCCCAGCCTCCACAGCTGATGTCACTGAAAGGATCTGGTAGAGCGGTCTGCTGTGAGGGGATCTGTCAGAGCACAAAGGAAGAGAGAGACGCAGGTGAACAAAGTAAAAAACCTGCATTCACACTACATGCATAGAGCACAGTGTAACCCCCACCTTGGCCCAGGTGTCCATGGCTTTGTATCTCCTGTAGCGGAGCCATCGCCTGCGACGGACACAGGAGTTCCACTTCTTGTCTTTGGTGTAGGTGGCGGGGAAATCGATGGCATAGCTCCATCCCTGCAGACACAAACACCTGAATAATTAATACAAAGCAGGATTTGAAAGGACAGAAACTGATGCTGGGGTAACGGGGGGGGATGCAAGGGCAAAAACAACTTCAAACTCTCACCCCTTTTTCTGTGGGCTCTCCCTCGAAGTTTTCATCCACGTACCAGTCGCCCTCCCACTCCCAGCTGCCGGAGGGAAGCTGAAAGCCGTCCAGAGGTTGGTGTTGCAGACCCGTGACGTCGCTCCACTGCCAGCGGTCGCTTGGCAGCAAACGCTCCGAGAAACCATCAACCGGATTCCACCTCTGACAGAAAGACAGACGGAGCATTCATCTTACAGCACAGACAACATCATCATGTACCATTTTGCCTAAGGGACACCAATCTAATTTCTTCTCCTCCCAAATTTACTTAAATAATTTTCAGCACTTTTGGTGGAATGTCCACTGGGGAGAAAGTCACAAGATCACTGACCTAGCGCACAAAATCTGACACAGCTGCGTGACAAAGTCCTTGAAGGTCTCAACAGCTGCACTCATGCTCGAGGAGATTAATGAAGCGTGTGTTTTTCGGCCATTTCAGTTCCACATACAGTTTCTTTCACTGTATTTGTGGGGTTGTTCTGACTGAAACTAGCCTCACATGCTTCTAATGCTTGAGTGTCACGGTGCACAGCTGACCGATAGCTGAAGTCAGCAAAAGGGGAAGTTGGACACTGTTGTATGAGGATGTTGCACTTACTTTCTTAATCACTCAATAGGGAACTTGAATTTTCAGTTTTACTTGTGCATTACGAAAACGGAAAAGAAAATCTACTGTGGCCTCCTCGGTTACTCTTTAATCACTGAAAATGAAAACACGACTTTCTTTTCCAAAGGAGTAAACTCTGTGATTGGAGACCCACTTGATTCTCGTAGGTCTCCTCCTGGTAGCGGACAGGGAGGTCAGACGCGTGGACGTTCAGGTAGATGTTGTTGTCGCAGGCGATGCCCCAGCAGCACTGCTGAGCCGCTGTCACCCGCTTGAACTCCATCTGGGCATCGCGGCACTGCTCCCACTGCTGTCCCCCCGTGGACAGGCTGTAGACCCGCCCATACACATCCACGGCCCACAGCAGGGAGACAGGCATGGCTGCACCTGAGACCTGAGGACGACAGTGGGTGAATGTTGATCATGTGGCCTTGAAATCACAATGTATTCTTCCACAATGCATGAAAACATCAGGTATCATCGACTCATTCTCGTACGTAACTGATGCGTAACTGACCTTGCAGTCAAGGTTAAAAACAAACAAACATTTATCACACAAACCAATATTTTCTTCAGACTGTCACTTGAAAAAGCATGAATATAACCCTCCAATGTGAATTGTGTAATTTAATGTGAGGAACTGCACCTGTGGTTACTTTGCTCAGAGCAGCTTTGCGAACATGACTGACCTCATCCATCATAAACTACCTCAGAACCGGTTCGTTAAAAACAAAAATGGCAAAAGAAAGTGAAGTGGGCTCTGGCGAAAGGTCAGACAGAATTTGTTTTTATGCCGTTTGTCTGATCAGCATAAAACTCAGTCTTCCGTCCCACACAGTTTGTCACAAGGTTAGAAAATAAAGGAGGAGTTGCGACTCAGAACAGAAGGAGCAGAAAGACAGCAAACGAGCCACTCAGCAGATACGAGGGGGTTGACAACTCATTCCAAACAGGATCGATTTGTCTGGGTACAGTGGGAGAGTGATGAGCTGGAAATCGTTCCTACGTTCAAGGAATAAGACACCTAGGATTGAATTTGCACAGCAGCATGTACAGAACGATTTTGGAGATTTGTGTTAGTTTGATACGAGTCCTAATTCAGCCTACATGGATCAGATGGTAGAAAGTCTGTGTAGAGAAAGCCAGAGGAAGAAAAACAACAAAACAGACTGCACTAATAATTTTGTGAACAATAGAGATGGGATATTTTATTTATTTATTTATTTAATTTTCAGGAGTCTTCTGCTTGACCATCTCTGATTTATTCGAAACTGTTTTACTATATATGCACTGCTACACTATGTATATTTTAGATGGTACATTTTAGACTTGCCATGTAGTTTTGGTAGAATTGTACAAAAACAACACAATAAAAAATACAACTTAACAAACAAACAAACAAACAAACAAAACATTAGTTGGAGACACTTATAGACACAGCAGTATAGATGCATGTGAATTTGATCAGAGCACAGGAAATGAAGTATTTGGCTCCCATGCGATGTACTCGTCTCAGTGTTCACACCAAAGCTCAACCTGTGATGAGTAGCAAAACCCACAAAACCTACAGTGCAGCAGTAAGTCGCAGTTTGCATCTGTATATCTCAATGTGGCAAAAATAACAAGGGCGGAACGATCTGCGGAAATTACCCAATGTTTTGGACAGATAATGTCATTTGATCTGCAATATCTATATAAATGGTTTCACTTCAGTTTAATGTTTAGTATGTATCAGACAGAATATGACACCATCAAGATGCTAACTGCTCTATATTTTAATATAAGGATGATAACTTAAAAGATATGACAAACATGTAGAACAATAGAACAATTATCATAAAAGCTGTGGCTGTGTTACAATAATAAGAATGTAAATAATTCTAATAAGAAAAGAAGGAGAGCTTTGTATAGGTAGCCTCTTACATTGAAATAGGCAGGTGATTCCATTAGAGTTTAGGGGCAGCATCTAAGTAATGCACATTCTCAATCAAGTTAAAAAAGTTGCGCTACATAATGCACAGTGCTTAACAAATTTATTAGACCACCCAATGTAAAGTTTACAACACAGCTGCCCTAAATGAATAGCATTGGTACAGTCGTCCTCAAATGTATTCATACCCTCCCATTAAAGAAGGAAAAAAAACGCTGTCACTGAAATAACTTGACATTGACAAAAATAATAATAAATTAAATTTAATGAAAATCATGACATTGCTTTTGAATTGTGGTTCAACAGAAATATTTTTAAAAAACAAACAAAAACAAGCAAACAAGCATGATGGGACCCATACACTAGTATTTAGTTGAACAATCCTTTGAGCCAATCACTGCAATCAGGTGTTTTCTATAACTCTCAATCAGACTTCTGCACCTGTCGACAGGTATTTAGATGTTGGCCACTGCCTACCAGCAAAGTGCTCCAATATTTCTGGGACAGTTTTTAATTTATTTTTCAAAAAAATTCTTTTATACCACAATTCAAAAGCAATGTCTTATTTCACTAAATTATAATTTAGCAAATTTTTATTTATTATTACTTTTTCAGTTTCTAGTTATTTTATTGTGAATTTTGCCTTTTCTTTAATGGAACGGTATGAATAAATTTGAGGACGACTGTAATTACCAAAATCATCTCTTATGTTTCTGTAATGGTTAATACACCAGTATGTAGGAGCTCTTTACCGAAATAATATTTGTTTATGCTAAAATATAATTATGAAAAACTGAAAAAATAGTACAGCTTAAAGCACATTATTATTTCTTGATTGAGATGTCACATTATAGTTATTTATTTGCATTCCTAAACAGAAAAAATAGTTTTCGCAGCCTTTGTGATTTGATATTTGCACTGATTCAAATTGTGATTTTCGTTCATAATCAATGAATTGTTCAGCCCTAGAAAACAAGCATATAAGGGTTAAAAAGTCTCCTTACAGCAGAGCAGAGGAGTGACTATGATGCTTGATGACTGTTTGTTTAAACCACTCTTTTGTTCCATTTCTAAGGTTTGACCCCAAATAATGCCACGAGCCCACTGACCCACATTCTACTTCCTGGACATATTGTCTTTTGAATTTTTTTTTTATTTCTTTTCCTCCGGCCTGCTGTGTGTTTACATGTGAAGTGACAGTAAACACACCAGACTGTTGAAGTGGTCTCCATTACACAGCATCTATGGAGCAGCCAGCAGGGACTCTGCTGCTGCTGAAAGGCGTATCCTCTGTCACTCACACACACACTATACTGTACATATTGATGACAACAATGAAAATATATACCACAAAGGCCCACATACAGCTTGAGAGTCGCCACAACAACGACGCTACTACAACATAACCAGCAGCTTGTTTGTTTCTACGTGACGTTTGTGTCATAAGGCACGTAGCTGCACATTAGCACTGTCAAATTAGCATTAATGGACAATATGCAGTGGGTTGTGAATGACAGGGAGGGCTGGAATATAAGCTTTAATGCTCCAAACAAACATGGCCAGTCCAGTAAAACCAGCTTTAGGCTTCAACGACAACACTCGGCTCAGTTTTGGTGCAGCTTACAGGCTTAGCTCTCTACAAATAGCAAATTAACAGAGTTCACACAAACCTCGAGCTTCCTCTCATAAAGCGTCCGTCGGCGCAGGAGGGACGACACCACGGCTCATGCAGCGGCTGGAAGCGAGTGGAAGCAGCCTAAATCATAATGTGGTCGCTGGAAGCTGACATTCACATCATAATCTGAGAGCTGTGTGAACCAGGAAGTGCTGCTGCTCGTTCTGCGCTCCCATTGGCTGCTCCGGCGGCAGCAGGTGTTTGTGACGTCAACGTCCGGCAGGGGGCGCTGCTGCATCACGAACTGATCAACAGGAGGCAGACAAACAAACAAACAAACAAAAACAGAGTCATGCTCAGTGGTGGCAGGAAACATTTCCTTAAAGTACATGTACTTCCATTTTAGTTGTGCTTTTGCAGTTTGCAGTGCTTTATGCTTCTATGTCACTACATCTCGGAGGGAGATACTGGACTTATGGCTCAGATTAATTTATCTGACACACATACAGCACACAATCTGAAACATGTTTCTATAATAAAGGCCCTGCACACTATACAGGGCATTTTTAGACCTGCTGAGTTTGAAACTGTGCAAATCAAATTTTTTAATGAGGTCATCAATGTTCTATGAACATAATAAGAATACTACTACTACTAATGATAATAATAATCATCATCATCATCGTCATCATTTTCTTATTATTAGCATCATCATCATCATCAACAACAACAATATTAACAATAAAATACTACTTACTCAGACTATTGTTATCACACTTATCACACTGTGTTGGAATTTTTATGAGGCTACCATTAAGAATAATAAAGTTGTCCTGCAGTGAAAAAATGGTCCTGGAACCCTGAATTATTTATTTATTTATTGTTAAATAACAACTTGCACACATTGGATTTAAGAGACGGACAAAAACTAAGCTTTCAGTAGTTTGGAGTAGTAATTCAGGTATAACGTAACATTTTGAAAGAGGTCATATTGCCGAACTTATTCCCCTTATTTTGGATATTTTTACCCCCCGAGGGTCAAATGATGATTCCTAGAACTCAAAAGGTATTTAATACTGATGGATATAGCATATTGTAATCATAAATGACCTTAAAAATAAAACCTGTGAGCCAGCTGCTCTTTCTTACAAAACATTTACAGTTTAGACATGAAGATGACAAATGCAAAGTCAGCAGTATGGCGTGTGTATGGCTCAAAAACAATATTGACAATAGTGGTTTGTTTAGGGTGGCTGTGACTGAACATTTGTTTTAAGTGTATTTATGCAGGTACTACTTATGTACTAAAAATTTCGATTCCAGTGATTTATTCAAGAACTTGGTCCTTTCCTGTCCTGTTATACTGCTCTGCATGTTTAGTGGAATAAAGCTGTAGATGTTGTTTTCCAGGAGAACAACAGCAGACAGGAGCAGCTGAGCAATTACATCCAGTTCCTTGACTTCCTCTTTAACCCTCTGTGCTTCAGCTCAACCATAGTTGTAAGTTTAGAAAGACATATTTTGTTGTAAGATGTCCTTGCATCAGACGACTACTTGTGCTGCACAGTTGGATGAAGTTTGTTAAATGAAATTCTAAACATGAATCTTATAAAAGTACGTCTGCCTGCAAGCTTGACAGTCCTGGTTTGATTACTTCTTTTTCATTATGACTGTCTCTATCACTACAATTTTTATAGTCTCATTTTTTCAGTGTTTATTATTTTAAAAAGTACAAGTTGTTCTTGGATCTTGGAGCCAAACATTAATGTTAAATCATGATCAAAAGTAATGTTCTTACCTCAGCTGAGTGAAAAATAAAAGAGTCAAATAAAAAGAAGAAAATCACTGAGAAGAAAATGAATTATCTTTGCAGACTTTATCATGTTTTATTGAGAAAAAAAAAGACTACATTTTTCAACACAGTGGCAAGGTACTCTGAAGAAAGCATGTGGTAATAACTATGTCAGTGTGACGGCTTCACTTACATCAGCGGGTCTACGTGGATCAATACACCGTTTCATTAATGTCATCATACAGGTGCATCCGGTAAAGCAAAAAAACATGGCAAAGAAAAAGTCCTTTTCCTCACAAAATAGTTAATACTTTATACAATGAGTCACTTTATTCACATACAATTCAAATGTCTACCAGTGAAGTACATGTTCATTTTGCATAAACTGTTTTTTTTTTCTTTTTCTTCACAGAATCTACATGAAACGACAGTGAAACCATAAGGAGTGGAAAAAAAAAAAAAAAAGTCCCTTCATCAAAAGGTCGTTTTACCCATTTAAAATACATTACCAGCAGGGAAATCTGAACCACACTGGGATCTCCGTGGCTCAGATCGAGCACGGCGGCTGTCGTGTTCAAAGGGGGGCTCCTGCACAAAGTAGACTTCTGCATACACATTTATTTAAATATATCTCATACAAACTTACTGCATATAAATAGCCTTCTCATTAAAAACAGCGACATACTGCTTCTGCCTTCACTCGAACCCTTTTCCCCAACTCGTCGCTCTCCCTTCATTCTCACAATGTATCACAAAGCCTCTTCAAAAGACAAAAATAATTATAATAAAAATAGAAATAATATTTTTTTTTTTCATTTTTTTGGCAAGTCAGGAAGACAACCTGGGTGCTGGTCTGCTTCACCACTATCACGATCATTTACATCTGCAGATCTTCACCGTGTGTCAAAATACAAACCAACTTCAGAAGACCTCATGACACCGTGTGAGCATCTCTTAAAGGGACAGTTCACCCCAAAATGAAGACGCAGGCTTTATCTCTTTATTAGCAGGTCCCTGTTTTTACTTGTGGGCCCCAAATGCTTTGATTCTGCCTCGTGTTAGACCACTGAAGGTAGCTTAGATCTTCAAATATAGTCGACGCAAACGTAAAAAGTCGAAAACTGTGCTTTGCAGTCATTTTTTTTCTCTTTGCTAGCATACAAAACTCTTGGAGTATGGTGGGAAAGTGAAACTGCAGAGTCCAAACTGCTTTTTGCTTGTGCTTTCATTTTCAGTTTGCATGAAAAATATGGCTCTTTAACTTTTGGTTGCTTTTTTAAAACAGTTGCAGGTTTTATATACTTCAGTAAAGTTTTAAACCATAATTCTCAAGATTTTTAGGAAATCAAACTGCATCTTTGAGGCTACGGTCATTCAACATTACTACATTCAGTATTTTTTTGTACGCTTACATAGTAGTTTTTACTGGCTGTGCTGCTTTCAGAGGACACTTTATCTTTATGACAACAGCCTGACTGTCGACAGCTTTCTTTGCTCAACCGTATTATTTTCTAGGTACACCATGTAAACTAAATACTTCCGCATGCCACTGCTTCACAACAATTTGTACACTACACGGCGGCTTAAATCGAGAAGCAATATATTTGGTTACATCCTAAAGTGTCGGGGATTAAACAAAGCCTTAACTTTCATTTTGGAGTGATCTATTAACACAAACTCAAACCAGATGCAAACATTTTCCTTGTGCACAAATCCTTTCTCCCTTTTGATGTAAAACACACACTGGCAGTACCACACACTTGTGCCATGAAACAGTGGATCTCTTTAATAGTGCAGACTCAGGGTGGCTAGCATGCAGGCTAGTGAGATGTCAGGTTGGGGGGATGTCGAGTGTGTCGCAGGGTTCCCGTGTCGTACGATTCCCCTGAAGGCATAACAGCGGTGAAAAAAATCTGTCTTGTTTTTTTGTGTTAGATGACTGGCGCCGATCTGTCATTCGTGACAGTTGGCCTCAGCTTCACCGTCGCAAATGGATTCCCTCCTCTGCAGGAAGAAAAGGAGGAAAATTGATATAACGACAAATTCAAAATTTCTGATCTTCGACAAGGTTTAACATTTCAACATTTACAAACCCCCTCCGGTGAAAATCAGTTGTTTTTACCTTGTTAACGCGTCCTTACGGTGTTTTTTTTTAATATGCTGTTGTGAGCAAAATCACAGATGATACTCTTAACAACTCAAATTCACAACTTTTTTTTAATGTAACCAGCAAAGGAACCAATCCTGTCTGCTAGCAGAATGGGACATGTTCACTGTAAACTGTCTTAACTTTATTCAGCTTAGAAAAGCCTGAAAATGTGACTTAACTGCACTTCAGTTGGTTTATTAGTTCATTATTAAGTCATCTAATGAGTGGTGAAAGTTAAATTAACGGAACTTGAGAAAACAAGTTCAATAGACTTGAGATATGAAGTTGAATCAACTGCTCACATAGACAACGGTTATGGACAGATTTGTTTTCTGTTTAAGGAACTCATTTGTCATTTAACACTGAGAAGTTAGAGCCTCAGGGGTTGAGATAATTTAGGATCAGACTCAGTATAAAGACAATCTGTGAGGCTGCTTCTGGTTACAGTGAGATAAATTACAAGTCTGCAGGTGCAAGAACTGAATTCAGTGCGAACCTTTGTCATGGATAGAATTATTATGAAAAGAAACAAACAAAACTTAATTTAACACGCATTAATGATATACAGCAAGTTTCCACTCTTCTGTATCGGTTCGATGAACAAATTTAGCCGATGTGAAAAACCGATGATTGTCTAACATTAGCGCCTTCATCTCTACATTCGATATTGCTGCTATTTCACAGATGTTTTGACTGAAATGGTCCTGGACTTGAACGTTAAATATGTTCAAATATGTTTAAATATGTTTTAATAAAAAGACAATATGATCTAATTTGGTATGGGCTTCTTTTGAATAGTTTCCACATTCTCACAGTGCTTACTTGTACTCATTTTTTGGTGTGAACAAAAATTGAATATCAACATCGGTAATATCGGTTATCGGCGATATCGGAAATCTTAATATCGGATATCGGTATCGACCAGAAATTTTCATATCGTGCATCACTACTAAATATAAATAAAAACTTAATTTAATGAGTTGAGAGAAGTCAGTTTATTTACTCAGCTCAGCTTAAAATTAGACATTTTAAGTTCAGTTAACTAGAAATTAACAAAACTTCTATATTTATATTAAGTAAACTAACAAAGATAAGTTGATTTGACTAAACACCTTTAATATGTTATACAGTGTTTGGGGGATTGCTCCAATATTACAACTTGTGTAAAGTAGAATAGTTTTACAGTGTTTGAGCAGAGTTGTAGGTGAGCTGGTGTGCTCGCGCTGCAGTGAACGAGGAGATCTGCACCTTCTAAACAAAACAGCTGTTTACAGTCACATTTAAAAGGTTATTTTCATGAAAAAAAAACAACTTGTAAGTATGTAACATTGATACACAGAGATGAGTTTTTAGAGGTTTAAACAACAACCGGAGAGGGATTGAAACTAAACACACAAAACTGTGAACATCGGTGAGTCCGTTAGTTGTGTTAGGTCACTCACCCTAGAAAAGGAGCCTTTGCAGTCCCATTGACTAAAGAAACCTGTTGTCAAAAAAAAACACACAGAAGAAAAGACCCTTGAAGACCCAGTGGACAAAGAGAAAATAACATTCAACACACACCACCACAAGTCACCAAAAAACTCGCCCTCCCTCCAGCTGTGAGGAAAGTCAGAGCTGCCCGACTGGTTCGATAAGATTTCTCATCAACAGTTGCCCCCCTCCCTGCCTATTTCCTTGACGTGTAGTTATGCTACAACCTCAGACCTCAACGAGTCTGGAATCCAGACAATCTAGAAAGGCCGGAGACAGACACGCGCTGCTCTGTTTCTTTCACCTGATGACGACGATACTCTTATCGCCAGCACAGAGCCAAGTGAGCATGAGGACGATAAAACTGAGGAACATAAATACCTGAACTGTGCCCTGAGGGCTACTGTCGCTATATTTATGCTTATTAAAAGATGTAAAGTTGTAAAGAAAATGTAGGGGTGCGACATTATCGAATAAATATGTCACAGGAACTATTGTTAACCCGTGAGGTTTCTCAGTTTCCACGTATGTTGGTTTCAGTTGAGAGCTCATCATGTACTTAAACAAAGATGGTATCATGTATATATTCAGTGTGCATCACTGATAAGAGCTGATAAACAGCAGCCTTAACTGATTTTATTGTATTTTGAAGTGCACATATTTACACTGTACCTTCTGTACAAAACTTTAAAGGACAGCTTTTATTGATTTTAATACTAGTTGGAGGAAACAAGCAGTAACCTGTTCCTCCACTAGAGGGCAGTCAACATCCAGATGTTGTCCACAGCTGGGCTTTAACGCCTCACACATTCAAGAGGATGCACTGTTCTCAAAAAAAAAGGAATTTGTGATTAAATTATTCGAGAATCCTAAACAGTATTTCACCTAGGGCAGATGTTCACTACACACTTGGCAAGGAATTTCTGATCATGATAAAAGAAAATCAGTCAAGGTTATCTTTAACTGTTGGATATTGCGTGTTTTATCTTTTTTGGCAAATGAATTAAACTCAAAATACGAGCGTATAAAGGTGGAGAGAGAGAGTCTGTAACTGTATTGGAGGTTGCTTCTATGTTAGCGTGTCAACCACATAGTTACTGGTGCTGGATTATTTATCACATGATCATATGTGTGGTATTAACATGATTAGCACAACAGCCATAGTTCATCACAATGCTTGTATATAATGACCCTGCTAATTTTAACTTCCAAAATTAGGATTAGGTATGTTTTCACTGCAGGCAGACGGACAACATGGAATTATACATTTTAAAATTTTCAGCTGAGTGTTAGTGGAAAGTCACTAACTGCAGCCCTACAGAGCCAAATCTCTGTGACTAATTTGGTTTACTGACAAAATAATGTTGAATTTATAAAATAAAAACACTCAGAACAAAAATACAGTGACTTCATTGTAGCTTAGATGTAAATATAGATGAATTAAAGTTCATTTACTTCCTGCTCCAGCTTGTTTTCTGTAATTAAAGCATCAAGTTAGATGTTTAAATAGATAAACGAGTCTTGCTAAAAGCTATCAAACCTTCCTTGTGTGTCATTTTTTCCTACAATGGCATAAAATCTCATGTTAAATGTTGGTAATTGTTTGGAGTCATTCAGCTTCTCTCTATAATTTAATACTGTGGGGTTTTACTTATTATGTGACGTCTCCTCAGGTGGTTTAACTGTTGCTACATAAATAAAACCACATTGAAGTGAATTGAATCGCTGTGACACATTTAAAACAAATAAAACTACTAATCTCCAACGGACTCCAGAATTGCCATGTTACACTTGAACTGAATGATCATCAATCAGTCAAAGGTCAGCGCTGTTGTTTACACAACATCTGTAGGTTAACTACTTTATTTATCAATTATTAAACGTACAAATGGGTTAAGTAATTGTCCAAGTACGTTAATTATACACCCGACAAACCCCGTCCTATAGCTGCTGTCTGTCTGCCGAGCACGTAGCCAAAGCCTGAGACTGATTTAGGGCCTCCAGCTTGTCAAACGTCTGTACAACACAACATACTAAACCCTTTTAGTCCAGGAGAGGTGGGATTTGAATGCTGCCTGAGAGTCTAAACTCACAAAGTCCCCAGAGCAGCAGCGACAAGGTCCACCTTTGCCCCACAGTCACAATAACAAACCTGCAGAGCTCAGTCAGTCACCGACCTTCAACCCGAACAAATGGTCAGAGGGAATAAAAAAGACTTTTCATATGTGGCTTTATCAAAGTTTTTTTCTTCCCTGCTGGGCTGCTTTCTTTTAAAAAAGAAAAGGCTGTAAAAAATGTGTGATTCTTAAAATGTGAGATATGTTAGGAGGATATATTCCAGGCTGTAGTTTATTAGGTGGTGAAACCCTGAGGCAGCAGATACAGAGGACGGTACAGAGAGTACAGTACAAGCACAGCAGCAGTGATGAGGGAGAAAGAAGCGTGCCTGGGCTTGTCTGCCGGCTGGACAGATACTAGTTCATTTTCAATCAGCCAACACAGCGCTGCCGCAAAATGAAATTGTGTCTGTACCCTCTTGTCCTTTGTGCCTCCCTCTGTAACTCTCTCCTTCCACTCTGGCCTTTCCCATTTTTGAACAAAACCTGGTAAAACCTGGATGGGGACATTTTTCAAATATCTTTTTTTTTTCTGGTGTGTTTTCTTTCTTGACTCATTATTTGTGTCTGCGTCAGTCAAACTGGCAAAGAGACTCCTGCAAAATGCAAACATTGCATCTTTAAGGCTGATGTATTGCTTAAGGAAACAATCATGTGGATAAATATTTCCTTAAACTGGTTACAGGAATTGAGGTGTGTTTCTGGCAGTGCTCTGTTTTAAGGGTGTGGAGGCAATGAGTGTGCATGGAGGAGATGTTGATAAGACCTGATTAGTCAGACTAAAAGTTCAACCTGTGATGGCATTTTGCAGTGTGGGTGTGGAGCGTGTGACGACTAGGCGAGGAAGGAAACACGAGACCTTTTCTAGAACGTGTAGCGCAATCGAAATCTTGGTAGACATTAAAACGTGACAGCACAGCGACAGACTGCTGACCACTGAGCAGATGTGCTGCAGAAACCAGGCAGTAATAACCTGGAAAGGAGAGGCACAGCAAGGGATAACAGCAGAATCTTAGCTTTCATAACGGTGGGGCTCTCCAGATGGCATTGTTTGGTCCTGACTCGAATATCTAAACATCTATTGGACGCCTTGAAATGTGGTTCAGACATTCGTTTGTCTCCAGATGATGAATCCTAATGACTTCGCAGTGAGATAGGCAGCCGAAGCAAAGTTAGAGCTTTTGTAATGGAAATAATATGTGGTAGTCGTGTGTTTAAGAAAGCCTAGATGTTTGCAGGCTAAATGTCACGACTCAGCAGAAAAGCGGTGAGTGCTCTGAGAGGACATGATTCACTCAGATGTGTCAGTAATAATAGCAGGACAAAAGAGGGTTGAACGCTGAAGAAGTTCTCAGGTAATAGATGGTCAAATGACTTTAGAACAGAGTCTGTCTGACTGCCATGCTTACAGTATAAAAACAATTAATAATTAATAGGGACTGGAGTTTGTACATGCTAAAAAGTAAACAATGTTTTTATAACTTTGGTGATCCCCTGATTTCTAATCTAAAATCACCTTTATGTCAATGTTTTAATGTGCTCCTGACATGTTATATAACCTGCAAACCTAACGATATTAGCATCACCATCAGCTGTACTTTGTGTGTACTAACTCATATTCGTCTGCTAATAGGCTAAAGTGCCGAGTTAGCATTTACTTCCCAGAAGCTTGACTCCTTTTCAGATATGACTTCTGCTGAAAAAAAAAATATTTGCAAAATTTTGGAATGTCTCTTAAATATTGACAGGATGCTATTTCTGCCATGCAGTTTATCTTGTGATTCTTCATCATCATGGATCATTTGCAAAATTAGAATATGACGAGGAGTAACTACAGAGTAATCAATCCCATCTGTGTGTCTGTCTGTGAACAGTCTGTAGCTCGAGTGCTGAGGTCTAACAGGTTGATATTGTACAGGTGAGCTAGGAATGGCCTCTCCTCGGAATGATTAGCTTTTGGGGTCAATCAGTGCAAACATAGCTCCGGTAGAGGTCAAGGATCACTATATCTCTCTACTGAGGACCCTCTAGCTCAGGGGTGGGCAATCCTGTTTCCCTCTTCCAACACACCTGATTCACATGATCAGGATCGTTATCAGGCTTCTGCAGAGCTTGATGATGAGCTGATCATTTGAATCAGGTGTGTTGGAAGAGGGAAACATCTAANAGGATCGTTATCAGGCTTCTGCAGAGCTTGATGATGAGCTGATCATTTGAATCAGGTGTGTTGGAAGAGGGAAACATCTAAAACATGCAGGATTGTGGCCCTCGAGGACCAGGATTGCCCACCCCTGCTCTAGCTTATTAGTTTTTAATCCATACATGAAGGCGATTTATCACTAATTCACTCTAGACACCATCATGCATACTGTTCTTGCCGACATCACTGAAACATGGTGGTGCAATTTCATAACCTTTACTTGCTTTACAAAACAGAGGAACAAACCATCTGTGATCCTAAAAGCAGGCAGCTGTCATCTGCTTCCTTTTTCTCATTATTCATATTCTTAATAATAAATATAACGACTGATAAATAAAACCTAAATTAACTACATAAACGTTTAAAATGTGGTTCTGTTTAAACACTACATTACATGAATCCTACTTGACAATGCAAATATTTAATTACCAGCACATGTGTTTGATGGAATGGTAAAGTATTAGTATTTTAAATAACAATAAATTAGATTATTAAGAAATGGTGAGTTAACATCATTCACAAAACATCTTTAAACCACAACCACCGACCATCTTGATGGACAACAAAGCAGCTTTAAACAGTCATTTGTAAAATAACAGTAAGTTAGTATGTTGCAGACAAACCCTCAAACCTAAACCCCATGTTCTAGTTAGTTTTCTTCATCTTGTGTTTTCCCACATTTGCTCACTTTTGTAAGGATTTTTTTGGAAATTTAATTCTTACAATTCCAGCAAAACTGTATTGTTGAACTGCACACAGGTCATGAAAAGCAGATCTAACAGTCACAGATGTTTGATATAAAAGCAAACTATCAAATCAAAACAGGACAAAAGCAAAAAGATGTTCTGCTATTAAAGAGCTTCTTTCTGTCATCAGAGGGCTATTCTATAAATCCATAGAGGATCAATGAATGGGGATAAATTACTGTACTGATTAAATCAATGCAACCATGTGGTTTAGTGCATGCTTGGTCAAGTCCTGCTACTGACCGTGTTCTGCGGTGAAGGCGTTGAGGGAATCACCGGCCTGGAGGGGATGTCGTCGCTGTAGTCCGGTGGAGGCAGCAGCACCGGCTCCTCCTCCTCCCGCTCCGGCAGACTGACCACGCTCAGACTACGCACCGGCGTGCCCAGACTGCTGCTTAGATAAATGATATGATATACGATAAAGCTTCAGCTATCACACATCAGCTGCAAAACAACTCATCTCTTCACTTCCTGGTATTCTGTTTGTTGTTTTCTTACCTATTTGATATCACTGACTCGCTATGAGGTCTGCAGTAGGATGAGGGAAACCAGCCCCGCCTAGTAAGAGACACAAACATCACAACATCAAAAACATCATAGAGTATAGAGTCATACAGTTTCCTTATTTTTCATTGATTACTTTTAATGCTCTGAACCCCAACATGTGCTGGGTTTTTTGTTTTATTACACCATCTATCAGAGCCAAAAATCTGTAAAGACAGAGGGAATCGTTGGATATCAATAATCTGATGGCTCAGGGATTAAATGTGTGTGACATGCAGTTCCACCAAGAAACCAAATGCTTCACTTGAAAAAATCGGCAAAAAAACATTCTGTAAAAAATTAAATTCTGCACTACTTTGCACAAATGTGAAGCCACCAGTTAACTAAGTTGTGACCAACAGTCGGGTGACAAAAATTCTGGGACTTTTCATCTGTGCTGGGCTGAACTGCAGGCTGCGTAAACTATAGAAGTATAAAAGCTAATTAAAAATATAAGTAATTAAATGTGTTCTAGGGCCACTATTTTTTCCAACTGTCTGTAACATCTGTTGGCACTTGGAAAAATGTACATTTTGTTGCATTTTTTTTCCCCCTCATTTAAAAAAAAAAAAAGAATAATAATTAAGAAATTTAACTTTAGCTTGTTTTTATAATTTATGACATAACAGCTCTGATCTTGTCATAAAAGACATTGCTAAGTTCTCTCTACTCATAGCCATGGTGGTGCTATCCTCATAGAGGTACAGGATTTTCTTTTAATAAATAAATAAATACATAAAACCCTAGAAACTACTTGGGATTCATTAGGTTAATTATTATTATTTTAGAAATAACTTCTCTTCCTAGGTTTCATTTTAAATACACAAAGAACATCAGCTACAAACCTTTAAGACTAAATAAAAACTAATTATATAAAAAAAAAGGATAGAAATAAAGCTATCAATAGATGATGTACATCAGTATGTATCAGCACCTGAGTGATGCTCTAATCTAATCTACGATAATCTAATCTAATCTAATCTAATCTAATCTAATCTAATCTAATCTAATACAATATAATACAATATAATACAATATAATATAATATAGATCACTGCACTACCACAACAGTATTTATAACATTATTTAATTCATCTCAGGTATTTTAACTGTGTGTTTTATTTTAACTGTTTGTTTTTATCGCTGCATCGTCATTTCGTTCTGTAGTGCATCCAAGATTTAATTAGTATGAATGACAATAAAGTATTCTGAATCTAATATAATATAATGTCCACAAATCATCCTCCATCCTGCATGCATACCAGAGACTGCAGGTGATCTGTTTTCGAGGGTTTGGGAGTAAAAATAATTGAGAATCACTGCTGCAGACAAAACACTTGAATCGAATGCACGTATCAAACACAACACATACGACAGACAGGGAGACTTTGTTCGCTAAGACTCAGAAGTTGTCTCCAAGTCACGTCTACAGAAAAAGATGGCTTATCAGCCCAGTGCAACGGATTTGTTGCTAAGAAACAGAATGTGCTGTGAGGCATCCCAACATGTCCAACCAACCAACCAACCGCTGACTGCTGGAAAACCACTTCAATTCGAAAAGGCCACTTAATGACACACACAGCGAGCACGGAGGGCTCCTGTTCACTTTCTGTCAGAGTGGGAACGAAGACACATCTGAGGCTGCAAGCGCTCCGTAATCCTGCATTATGGGCTTTAATTGATCTAGATGACTGTAATTACACAACTCGAAAGCAACTTAGCTACAAACACAACTTGTGTGCGTGTACACATTTTCGCACCAGGTAATCTGAGCGAGCAAGACACACAAAGCTAACAACTGCAGTGTTTGTATAGAAGAATATTAAGGAGGGAGGAATTTTAACAAGCGCCTGAGAACATTTTTCTCTTTCTCTGGGGGCGACGTGGAGTCACAGCCGCTGTACAAAGGCGTGATTTCACCTGATCTGCTCTTTAAAAACTACCATATTTATTTCGCTCACTCGTCGTCGGGCGTCTAGAGGAAATGAAAAAGCTATTTGTTTGTTGCTGAGTGAAATCTAAAGGGCCCGGCGTCTCGTGTTTGGATTATTTGCATGTGTGTTGGCTGTCGTGAGGCAGCAGCAGGAGAAACAGGGAGAGATCAAGCTTTACGACTGTCATGTGGAACATACCTGACATACTCAGTGTTTGGAGGCCAGATGAGCTATGTGAAAAACGTCTGAGTGTCACTGCTGCTGCATATTTGTCGGAATGAAAGTACAGTTCCTCTCAAGGGTGTGCCAGCGGTCGTATTTAGATTGCATTTAAATCAAGTATGTCAGTGAGGGAAGCCACGATGAAGCTGTGTGCTTACAGGTTAAGATTGATTTTTGGTTACATTTTCGGTCTTGTTTGTTGTATTAAGGCGACAAATCCCATGAAAAGACCAAAACCAGCAGTGTGTTTGCCAGTCTCTCAGTGCTTAAAAAGCCTAGACTGCGCAAATTAGTTCTGTCACGTCTTTAAAAACAAGTCACAGATATTTAAAAATGTAACCGTCTGAACCCCAAAATCCACCAGTGGGTTTGAAAAGAACACTGTCTTTTAGAAAACGGACAAAATGACAACATTTATTAGCCAGAAAGAATCATTTGACGTTTTCCTTTGCGACATCCTGTGAACTGCTCATCTGTAAAGTGATGTGTCCGTCGGGAAACTTAAGCAAAACTAAACCTAAAATTGTGATATTTCATCAAAGTCCCTTTATTCTAGGCGTGTTGCTTCAAATAAAATATCAACCCTAAACAAACTCTGTAAAAAAAACCCAGAACAGTTTGAACTCCTCAGCTCAGCCAAGAAGCCATCAGTGACTCACTTGTAATCAACTGTCACATGACAAAAAATTCAGGGACTGTTTTGGTGAACTGGACTGAACTGCATGAAGTGTAACCACACAACAGAGACAACAGGTAAGTAGTAAAAAATGTAAGTAATTAACTTGTAATAGGATGTCGAGTCATCGTTTTTTCAGCATTGCAAACACATGTTGGCATGTTAACTCCAAGTTTATACAATTCCTGATACAGGAAATAATCAAAGAAATGAATTTTTGTCTTTGCTGTACTGCACAGAAGACGTTTTGAGTTCTCTCTACTTCTAGCCGTGCTTGTTTTCATTCACGGTTCATGGTTTCATGATTACAAATTAGGACCTGGCTGAATTGAGCTCAGTGATACATGCTGAAGTGAACTGATCTTTAAACTGTTGTCGCTGTTTGGTGATGACGGCTGCCGAGCACAGTTTGCTACGGACTTTGAAAAGCACACATGATTCCAGGCCAAAGTTGTCTCTGTGCTGTTATTTACCCTCAACTCAAATAGATTCAGTTCAGTACTCGGCAATGTTAACGTATGCCAGCGTTTTGCCTATGAAGGGGTTCATAGTGGGTTTTTGATTTGTGGACAGTAAGAAAACTCAAGTATTGACAAACTTATTCTTAACCAGAGATGAATGAACAGACTGGTAAACTGGAATGCAATAATGAACAAAAAAAACCCCATTTATATTTCCAGATAAATCAAATACGAGATAAACTAAGTCATCTACACATGAATGCTGAATAGAGGAGTAGTTAAAGACTCACTGCCGTGTCTTCTCCAGCTCCCCGTACAGCCAGCCGTCCTTCTCCTCCTGGATGAGCAGAGTGATGATGTCGCCGTCGTCGAAGCTGAGCAGTGTATCGTTGTTGCCTGCCGTGTGAGGAAAAATGGTCCTGACCCTGGTTCTCCTGCCCATGTTGAGACCAGAGGACTGAGACGTCGACCGGGACAGACTGCCGTCTCCGAGACTGCCCTGGTCTGGAGGCAGAAGAGATTAGAAACCGTCACAATCATGTCAGCTATCTGTCAAAACTAAATAATAGTGATGCACGATATTAAAATTTCTGGCCGATACCGATATCCGATATTAAGATTTCTGATATCGCTGATAACCGATATTACTGATGTGGCTATTTAATTTTTGTTCACACCAAAAAAACGAGTATAAGTAAGCACTGTGAGAACGTGAAAACTACTCAGAAGAAGCCCATAAAAATTAGACCATATAGTCTCTTTGTTATGTAACAAAAGTAAAACATATTTAAACATATTTAACGTTAAAGGACCATTTAAGTAAAAACATCTGTGAAATAGCAGCAATATCAAATGTAGAGACGAAGGCGCTAATGTTAGACAATCATCGGTTTTTCACATCAGCTAAATTTGTTCATTGGACCGATACCGATATATTGGAAAAATCACTAATATCGGCCGATACCGATGTGGTCGTCGATATATCGTGCATCCCTGCTAAATAAAGAAGAGCAGTTTGGCATTTGGTTCACTTTGTACTTGGAGGTAAATGAGACAATCAGTGCAGTTTTATCTCGTCTTCAGCTCTCTTTTGCAGAAATGCCCTGATTATGTTCACACAAGAGTTTTCTTTAAAAATCGAACACAGTAAGTCAGACAGCAATGTTCCCAACATAATCAAACCTGTAAGTACGCCAATGAAGCTTGGTAGAGGCTTGAAAAAATAATTCTAAAGCTCTATTTCTAGGGGACCCCTAGTTTGTTTGTGGAGGTCATCTGTGATCTTAATTCCATATAAATCTGCCAAGTCTGTCATTTGTAAAAGCTATGCATTCCACTGCATATTACCTAAAATATTTTACCCAACACAAAGGTCATGTGATAATATTTGTTCCGAATCAGCATCTCTGTAATTTGGGGTGTTTTTTAGTTATTTATTTTTACTTTTTGCTGATTTTTTATTTATTTTTTTCACTGCACCTTTGATCTGCTTTGTCCTAATTCTAAGAATGATAGAGGTGATTGGTGTTGGTGATTATAAATGAAACTTTGGAAAGTATTTTGGGTGTAAATTCAGGAGGCTCACAGCATGTCACTACATCAACATAACCCATTCACATAAATTCACAATTCCATCAGAAGAGACGAATCTTCAAGGATGTTGAGATGGATAATACTCATGGCGGTACACAGTCAGGAACATTTTGTTGTTATTATGCTGCAGCCGATGAATATCACATCCCAGGATAATGTCAGTAAATTTGACTACTTTGCTTATCTTGTGTGAAACACAGACACGAGAGATTATTTATAAATCACATGACGCCCCCAGGTAATTGCAGTCCTGTGTGAACAACTTTTAGGATTGCTAAAATCTCATTCGGAAAAGCGATATCTGCTCAGTTTTGATGAATCATTGCTCGGTGATGCATATCACAACAATTAGAGAGTCCGCAGTGAGCGCCGAGTATGTTTATTTATGTATTTCAGAGTAATTACCTGAGTTGTGGTCTGAAGAGGATGTAAGCGGAGATCTGGGCTCTGGGTTAAACATAGTGACGAGCGGACTGATGGGATGCTTCAGCGGCGGTGCTGGAGGAGGCACCACAGGCTCCCCGTTATTCTGGAGAGGTGACAAAGACACAGATTAGAAGATTCACTAATATGATCATATGAGCTGGTCGCATTCGCATCAGAACAAGAATGATTTTGTATCAGTGCAACAACATCTAACAGCTTTTACTATAACTTATTGTCTTCCTCCTACGCAGCAATAAACAGCTGTGGCCAAAAACACTCTGTGGACTTTAACACAGACTAACAGCAATGGCACAAGCAGGGTTTCTGGTGGCTGACAGCCAGCGAACGATGCTCCACCACTTCACACAAAAGCATCCATCTGATACAAGAGACCACAAGCTAGATAAAGTGCAAGCAACAGCAAGACAAGATAAGACGCCACAGGGCCACTCTTGTCCACATTTTTGGATTGCGTGGTGTTTTGGTGTGCTTTATTCACAGCTTCTATCTGAAGCAGTGAGATAACAAAGTATGTGAGCAATAGCATGAGGTCTCTTTTGACAAAACACATAAAAAAATGAAAGTAATAAATAAGCGACTAAAACGCTCCACCGAACTGACCCTGCTGTAGCGCTCCACCTGCGGGGACTGCTCTGGGGTGGAGGACAGCTCGTCTATCATGGTCGCCACCGTGTCCGGCACCTTGGTGATGTCGCTGCACTTTTCCTGCCAGCTGGGGATCTTCACAGCCAGCATCTCTTTGGCCTGGAATCACCAGAGAATAAGACAGAGCTGGTTCATGATGCGTTCATAACGTGAGGCGGGGGCTCTGACGGAGAAGGATCTCGGCTTACTTTCTCATGGAAGTTGCTCATCTGATAGGAGAACATGCAGTGTTTGTCCGCCAGGAAACAGAAGCGTCTCTTCTCTTCCAGCAAGGCCTCTCTGCAGCCGTCGGCGATGAACTTCTGCATGTCCATCTGACGTGACGAGATGGTCTCCATAAACTGCAGGCGGGGTGACAAGAACGCCGCAGA